CAATAAACTTAGTTTTGGACTGACTGTTTTAAGTCAGAACATGATTTGACCTGTTTAAAACAAAATACATTTAATATTGAATATACCAAATAAACTTTTTTATAGTCCTCATTATTGTGACTTTAGGGGACCTTATTTCCTCTGTCTTTTATCTGGCTTTCCCATACATTTTTAAATCAATACGACAATACTAGACTTAAAAGTTGTATTAATAAGTTTAGTTTTGACTGACTCTTTGAAAGCAGAACATGATTTGACCTGTTAAAGTCAGTTTACAGAACAAAATTTCCAAACAAAGCTAGGTGTTCTTCCTCTAAGCCCCCCCCCCCCTAAATATGAATCTGCTACTGTTGAGTTAATTAATTGATAAGTTTTTTTAGAAACAATTCAGCCAAATGGTTATTAAAATTTTATTTTTTTTGGCAACCACTAGTTCTATGTGTAAACTTAACAGAAAAGAAAAGTCATGAAAATACAGAAATAAAATAAAATTTTATTATAATAAGATAATTTGATGAAAATCTTTAAAAACAAAATGCATTTGATATTGAATATACCAAATAAACTTTTTTATAGTCCTCATTATTGTGACGTAAGGGGACCTTATTTCATCTGGCTTTTATCTGGCTTTCCCATACATTTTAAAATCAATATGAAAAACCTAGACTTAAAAGTTGAAATAAGTTTAGTTTTGTTTGACTCTTTGAAGTCAGAACATGATTTGACCTGTTAAAGTCAGTTTACAGAACAAAATTTCCAATCAAAACTAGGTCTTCTTCCTCTAAGCCCCCCCCCCCCTCATTATTGTGACTTTATTATTGGGTGTCTTTTATCTGTTTTCCCCATACATTATTAAATGCATATGACAATGCCAGACTTAGAAGTTGCAATAATTAGTTAAAGTATAGTTTTTGACTGACTCTTTGAAGTCAGAACATAATTTGACCTGTTTAAAACAAAATACATTTAAATATTGAATACACCAAATAAACTTTTTTATATAATCCTCATTATTGTGACTTTAGGGGACCTTATTTCCTCTGTTTTTTATTTGGCTCTCCCATACATTTTTAAATCAATATGACAATACTAGACTTAAAAGTTGTAATAAGTTTAGTTTTGACTGACTCTTTGAGGTCAGAACATGATTTGACCTGTTAAAGTCAGTTTACAGAACAAAATTTCCAATCAAAGCTAGGTGTACTTCCTTTAATCCAAGAAAGTCCTTGCTTTCAGACTGCTTCTGAATCTGCCATTTTCGAGTTTATTATTTGATAAATTTTTAGAAACAATTAAGTCAAATGGTTATTTATTTTAGGGGATCTTAACATATATTTCCTGTGTCTTTTATCTGACGTTCCCATACATTCATTTAATATCATATGGCAATGCCCGGCTTAAATATTTCAATAAATTTATTTTAGTTTTGGACTGACTCTTTTAAGTCAGAAAATACATTTAATATTGAATATACATTTAATATTGAATATACCAAATAAACTTTTTTATAGTCCTCATTATGGTGACTTATGGGGACCTAATTTCCTCAGTCTTTTATCTGGCTTACCTATACATTTTTAAATCAATATGACAATACTAGACTTAAAAGTTGTAATACATTTAGTAAGTCAGAACATAATGTGACTTGTTTGAGTCAGTTTGCACAACAGTATTTACCTCAATGAAATATTAAAATAATAAATGTTTTGCTCTTAATACATTTAGCTTAAAGTGGATGAGAATATATCTTTTATTAACATAGTCTTATCCTGAATAAGTGTCTTGTTTTTCCTTGGAAGATTTGAAGTATTGTCATGTAATGTATCCAATATTGTATTTTGTAAATCTTTTGATATTCAGAAAATTGTATGATCCTTTTTTTCTCACCTGGTTTTTCTTTGTATTTTGAAATAATTGAAAGTGATGAGATAAATATATTATGTTTAGATTCTGGAAAGGAGAAGGTATGATGTCAGATGAGCCCCACTTTTTAAAACTCTTTAATTCGAAACTAGTAATCACCATATTTTTATGGAGATTGATAACAAAGTGGTAGTAATGACTGCTTCAAATCAGAACAAAAATGACCTCTCGAAGTCAAAATGCATTAAAAAGGGGCATAAATCTTATTAGAATATGAAGATATTAAGTCACAATATTTTGTGCAAAATCTGACCTGTGGAAGTCATTTTATGATAAATTAAAGTCTGACATAAACTGACCAGTACAAGTCATATTCTGTTGAGTGCAAGAAGGGAGACAACACTTACATCAAATTATATCTGACCTATGGAAGTCATTTTATTCTGACTTGTTTATGTCAGATCTGACTGACTAGTGGTAAGTTAATGATAATTGGTATGCAGTTGTATAAGCATTGGCATATCTCATTTCCATTGAGATTATTTGGCCCCGCCCCCTCAGTCATGGTCTATTGACTTTGAAATTTTTGCTTAGTTTTCATGTATTAGTTTGTGATTAGGTCAGTTTATGGGGGAACCTCTAGTGGTAAGTTAATGATAATTGGTATGCAGTTGTATAAGCATTGGCATATCACAATTTCTATGGCAATTATTTGGCCCCGCCCCCTCAGTCATGGTCTATTGACTTTGAAACTTTTGCTTAGTTTTCATGTATTAGTTTGTGATTAGGTCGGTTTATGGTGAACCGCTTGTGGTAGGTTAATAATATTTGGTATGCAGTTGTATTAGCATTGGTACATCTCATTACAATGGAGATTATTTGACCCCGCCCCCTAAGTTATGTTTTATTGCATTTGAAATTTTGCTTATAAAAAAGAAGATGTGGTATGATTGCCAATGAGACAACTCTCCACAAGAGACCAAATGACACAGAAATTAACAACTATAGGTCACCGTACGGCCTTCAACAATGAGCACAGCCAATACAACACAGTCAGCTATAAAAGGCCCCGAAATGACAATGTAAAACAATTCAAACGAGAAAACTAACGGCCTAATTTATATACAAAAAATGAACGAAAAACAAATATGTAACACATAAACAAACGACAACCACTGAATTACAGACTCCTGACTTGGGACAGGCACATACATACAGAATGTGGTGGGGTTAAACATGTTAGCTGGATCCCAATCCTCCCCCTAACCTGGGACAGTGGTGTAACAGTACAACATAAGAACGAACTATAAAAATCAATTGAAAGAGGCTTAACTCATCAGATGGATAAAAATACAAATACTACAAATACAAGTGGACGTGGCCGGGTACTTGTACATCCAAACAACAAAAAGACACTAAGTACAGATCTGAGAGTACTCACAGTTACTGACAGCTAGTTCAAAGCCACTAACAACTAATAAAAAAAATCATGCATCTAAGACTAAATTATCAATCCGTACACATCCAACATCCAATGGATTTAGTTTACATGTATAAGTCTGTGTTTAGGTTTGTTTAAAGGGAACTACTTATGATAAGTCAATGGTATTTGTTATGCAGTTGTATTAGCATTGGCACATCTCATTTCCATGGAGATTGTTTGGCCATGTACCTTCAGTCATGATTCATTGACTTTGAATATTTGCAAAACTTACGTGTAAAAGTGTTGCTATTTTAATTTCAACATTTGCATTATCGAAATAACCAAAAAGCGAGACATATCTCTGTGATAACAGTTTATCAATATTAAGTCTGTTTTTCCGATACTATATTCAATAGGTCTACTATATTTTGTTTATGAAATAATTGTTAGATGTATGTGTCTGTCTGACAGTATTCATCTGACCTTGACCTCATTTTCATGGTTTGCTGGTCAATGTTGAGTTTTCATAATTAGGATTGTTTCTGGATACTATTTGTAATATCTAAATTAAATTGGGTGTTTAGAATGATTGTAAGGTGTACCTGTCTGTCTGACAGGTTTCATCTGACTGACCTCATTTTTAGACGACTGCAATAATTTTTGCAGATGTATATTGGTATGATGTCGTCGTCGTCGTCTGAAGACACATTGGTTTTCGCCACAATAACTTTAGTTTAAGTGAATGGATCTCTGTTAAATTTTACCATAAGGTTCAATAACACAAAAGGAAGGTTGGGATTGATTTTGGGGGTTATGGTACCAACAGTTAGGGGGCCAAAAATAAGCATTTTTCTAGTTTCCAGACAATAACTTGTGGAATGGTGTATGGATCTCTCTGAAATTATACCACAAGTTTCCATACCACAAAGGGATGGTTAGGATTTGCTTTGGGGGGTTATGGCTCAAACCGTTTAGAAATTAGGGGCAAAAAGGGGGGAAAACAAGGGTGTCCTGGTTAATGGACAAATACTTTAGTACAAAACATAATTTAAAGCAGTGTAAGGGAGGTAATTCAAATACATCAACAATTGCATCTTAAATGGTAATTAAGAAATATACTGCACAAATTGACTCATTTATGCATTGGGAATCAGACAATAGTCTTTCTAATATTTGGTTTTTATGCCAGTCTGAAATCCAAAAATGGCATAGTTATGGGAAAATTGTGAAAAAAGGCATTTTTTACGTAAACTCACTTACAGATTGAAGTAAGGTCAGATTAGGTGCTTTGTGATATTTCCTGCCATTATAAATTATGGACCATAATATTCCATAAGATCCTTGCAGAATATATTTGAGCTTCATCTTCCTTGATACTGTGTTAATGCACTTTGTTAATGGTCTCATTACACCATGCTGGCATGAAAGCAGTTGGTCATGGGTGAGATCCACTGCTGGGTTAAACAAAGATTTTGGTAAATTTTGCACTGGGAAAACCAGGTGAGCAATACAGGATCTAGGAAATCTCTACATTAGGTATTGTAAACTGAAAAAACATAATTAAAAGATTGGTGACTTTTCTATTTTACTGAAATGTTAAAGCTGAATCATATTTATTTTGACTTATTTATGTATTAATTTACACAGAAAAACAAATCATTTACTTGGTGTACTTACATCACTCTATGTCTAAATGACTGTCTTATCTTTTCAGTTTACCATCGTTTCAAGCATTATCCAATGTCAACAGTTGCATGTTATCTGCCTGTTTTGTATTGGTGTTACCACAGCCCATCCCTGTGGCCTTGTCTGTGGTCAGGTTGATTAAAAATGTTACAAGTAAGTCTAGTAAATCACATATTCTATATAATTATGATGATGTCTATTGCAGCCACAACTGGGAGAAACAATCAAGAAAGATGATAAAAATAGAACATAATATGGGATTTCATATCACATTCCAAATTAAGCCTTGTCCAACATCATACCTTTGTTCTAAGCTGTCAACTTGGTACTGACGTCTTAGTTGGATATAAGAATTAATACATTAAAACTCTATTTGATATTCAATATACACAATTAAAGAAAAAAAGAAATCAAGTGATATTGCAAGCTCTTTTTTAGTCTGAATGCCGAATATTGAATGTTCTTGACTATTTTTTTGTTATAGATTTAGATGTGATAACAGTTGGTGAAGAGAACAGTTTAATTACTTTGTTGTTAAAAGATGTGTTTAAATGTAAAGCTGAGGATGAATTCTTTGTTGTAAGTACATGTGCATCTTTTTCTAGGGAAAACAGTTTAAGGATGTGTGTTATTTTATTTCAAAATAATAAGCTTTTAAAAAGACTGCTATAAATTGATAGTATATAAATAACGGAACTTTAAAAGCAGAAAAAATTTAAGCCATAGAAAAATTGGCAGGAAATGGGTCTCTCTAGATTTTTCTTACATTAAACAGTGGCACCATTTTTCTTTCAAAAACTATGAAAAAATAACTAGGATTTTATATTAAGATTTTTAAATATGGCTTTTATTTAACTATTATGTAATAAAATTTCAATAAGCAAACATATGTTCCAAATATAAGTGAATTTTATTAACTGATTTATCAGTATTACCGTACCACTGTAATATATAAAATATTAGACATTTAATGTGTTGCCTTGAAGCTGGATTGATCTAGTTTACTAAAATTGTGTCTGAATTCATAAGATTCACAATTCATTTTATTAGACCTTCTTACATAACAATAATTGTATCCACAATCTTCAAAACTACCTGTCTATATTTAAAATGGATCTTTTTAGGTTATAATTTCTGCAAAGTTTAACAAATGTGGTTCTTACTTTGTCCTATTTGCAGACTTTGCCAGATCAACAGCATGTATTTTATATGAATGATATCAATGGTTGCTCACTGGAACAGCCTGCAGTGATGGTCAGTAAGATTCCCTTTACTCATCCAACCAATGTTGCTCAAGTCCTCAACTGTTTACGACAACAACTCATCTTTAATACAGTTATTGGTAGTAGTATTAGACCAAATGCTAGTCAAGGTAAGAACTTTTTTTTTAAGCATACAGAATTTGTGACTACAAATGAAAAGCTTATTAAAACATTGTAACTCATAAGTCTTATGATGTATGTTTTAATGATTGTTACAATTTAGTAGTATTTCATTGAAATTTTGAAGTTGTGTTTGAAAGATAAATTTTTGACAAACTAAATATTTTGGGGGAATATAATAACATTGTAGAACAATACATCTATACCAAGGTGTCAAGAAACTTTTTCCAGCAATTAATATAAAAATAAGGAGATGTGGTATGTATGACGCAGGTTTTTATACGACCGCAAAAATGAAAATTTTTTGGTCGTATATTGGTATGACGTTGGCGTCGTCGTCGTCGTCGTCGTCGTCGTCGTCCGAAGACACATTGGTTTTCGCACTCTAACTTTAGTTTAAGTGAATGGATCTCCATGAAATTTTACCATAAGGTTCAATACCATGAAAGGAAGGTTGGGATTGATTTTGGGGGTTATGGTACCAACAGTTAAGGAATTAGGGGCCAAAAAGGGGCCAACAATAAGCATTTTTGTAACTTCCAGACAATAACTTGTGTGTAAGTGTATGGATCTCTCTGACATTGTACCACAAGGTTCCATATCACAAAAGGAAGGCTGTAATTGATTTTGGGGGTAATTGCCTCAAAATGTTAGGAATTAGGGGCCAAAAAAGGGGCAAAAAAACAAGCATTTTTCTAGTTTCATGACAATAACTTGTGTGTAAGTGTTTGGATATTTCTGAAATTGTACTACAAGGTTCCATATCACAAAGGGAAAGCTGGAATTGAGTTTGGGGGTAATTGCTCGAAACGTTTAGGAATTGGGGGCCAAAAAGGGGCCAAAAATAAGCATTTTTCTAGTTTCCAGACAATAACTTGTGTTCAAGTGTATGGATCTCTCTGAAATTGTACTGCAAGGTACCATACCACGAAGGGAAGGCTGAGATTGAGTTTGGGGGTGATGAATCATAAGGGGGTTCAAAAAATTTTGGGGGGGGATTTTTTTTTTTCTTTTTTTCCTTTTTTTTTTCTTTTAAAATTTTCCATTTTAAGTTGGTTATTTCTGATTTATATTTAAAAGCAAATAATAATGATATGGTAGGAGATACACACCAAACAGGATGTGTAAATTATTATATAATAAGTATTGTGCAATAGCAAGAAATTTTCAATTGCACAGTATTGCACAATAGCAAGAAATCTTCAATTGCACAGTATTGCGCAATAGCAAGAAATCTTCAATTGCACAGTATTGCGCAATAGCAAGAAATATCCAATAGCACAATATTGCGCAATAGCAAGAAATTGTCAATTGTACAGTATTGCGCAATAGCAAGAAATAATCAATTGCACAGTATTGTGCAAAAGAAGATACTTTGTATAAATTGCTTATTTCTTGATCAATTTCAATGGGGTTTTATTCTTGAATTCTTGGGGTTCTTTAATATGCTGAATCTAACCGTGTTTTAAGTTTTTGGATTTTGGGCCCCGTTTTTAAATTGGTCCACATTGAGGTCCAAAGGGTCCAAAATTTAACTTTGTTTGATTTCATCAAAAATTGAATTATTGGGGTTCTTTGATATGCCGAATCTAACCGTGTATTTAGATTCTTAATTTTTGGTTCTGTTTTCAAATTGGTCTACATAAAGGTCCAAAGGGTCCAAAATTAAACTTAGTTTGATTTCAACAAAAATTGAATATATGGGGTTCTTTGATATGCTGAATCTAACCATGTATTTAGATTTTTGATTATGGGCCCAGTTTTCAAGTTGGTCCAAATCGGGGTCCAAAATTAAACTTTGTTTGATTTCAACAAAAATTGAATATATGGGGTTCTTTGATATGCTGAATCTAACCATGTATTTAGATTTTTGATTATGGGCCCAGTTTTCAAGTTGGTCCAAATCAGGGTCCAAAATTAAACTTTGTTTGATTTCAACAAAAATTGAATATATGGGGTTCTGTAATATGCTGAATCTAACCGTGTAGTAAGTTTTTGGATTTTGGGCCCCGTTTTTAAATTGGTCCACATTGAAGTCCAAAGGGTCCAAAATTTAACTTTGTTTGATTTCATCAAAAATTGAATTATTGGGGTTCTTTGATATGCCGAATCTAACCGTGTATTTAGATTCTTAATTTTTGGTTCCGTTTTCAAATTGGTCTACATAAAGGTCCAAAGGGTCCAAAATTAAACTTAGTTTGATTTTAACAAAAATTGAATTTTTAGGGTTCTTTGATATGCTGAATCTAAACATGTATTTAGATTTTTGATTATGGGCCCAGTTTTGAAGTTGGTCCAAATCGGGGTCCAAAATTAAACTTTGTTTGATTTCAACAAAAATTGAATATATGGGGTTCTTTGATATGCTGAATCTAACCATGTATTTAGATTTTTGATTTTTGGGCCCTGTTATCATTTTTGTCCACATTGAGATCAAAAGGGTCCAAAATTAAACTTTGTTTGATTTCATCAAAAATTGAATTTTTGGGGTTCTTTGATATGCTGAATCTAACCATGTATTTAGATTTTGGATATTGGACCATAATAGGTGAATGTCCAATTTAAAATTTTTAAGTTCTTAGACCACATTCATTCTGTGTCAGAAACCTATGCTGTGTCAAATATTTAATCACAATCCAAATTCAGAGCTGTATCAAGCTTGAATGTTGTGTCCATACTTGCCCCAACTGTTCGACCTCTGCGGTCGTATCAAGCTGCGCCCTGCGGAGCATTTTATTTCAATAGTGATGATTTTCTAAATATTGTTTAAAATTCAACAGTGGTATCATACTTTAACTTTGTTTAAACCTGTATATTTACTTTTGACCTTAATTATTTATCCCTTATAATTTTTTTTTAACTATGTATTTGCATTCAGGTATCACAGATCAAATTTATTCGTTCATTGTGTGTTAATTTACGTTTTTTGATTGAGTTAAGCCTTCCAATTGATATTTTATAGTGTGTCTTTCTATGTTGTGATGTTATACTATTGTTTCAGAAAAGGGAGAAGGTTTGGTACCATTAAAACATTTAATCCCGCTGCAAATGTTTGCACCTGTCCTAAGTCAGGAATCTGATGTACAGTAGTTGTCGTCTGTTTATGTAGTTCATACGTGTTTCTCGTTTCTCGTTTTTATATAGATTAGACCGTTGGTTTTCCCGTTTGAATGGTTTTACACTAGTAATTTTTTGGGGCCCTTTATAGCTTGCTGTTCGGTGTGAGCCAATGCTCTGTGTTAAAGGCCTTACCTTGACCTATAATGGTTTACTTTTATAAATTGTTACTTGGATGGAGAGTTGTCTCATTGGCACTCATACCACATCTTCCTATATCTAATGATTGCAAATAAGGCAACTAACTATCCACCAGAGATTAAAAATCATTTTTAAGAACTGTTAATTTCTAATGAATGTTGCTGAAGGCTAGACATAGTTATGCTAACCAGACTATTGGGTCAATGGACTAACCTATTTGTACAACGCTTGATATTCCTGAAAGTAAATGAACTGTATCATTTGTACAGTATGTAAATAGTGTTATGAACTTTTTTTTCTTGGCTGAAGGCGAGATATGGTGTTTCTATATTCTGTGGTCAGCTTCATCAACAGTTAGATTGAATCTGTGGTTAAAGGTTTTATTAGATATCAATAACATTTTCAAACCTTTGTGGAATTATACATATTTTGGACATAAGCTTCGTCATAATCAATCTTTTTGAATTGAAGCTCAATGTAATCAGGTAAACAGGTCAGTTTGATTTTGGACTCGACATTTACTGTTCACGTATTATGCTGCCGGCAGGGGTTATCTGTGATCCCTATATCACCTAATACTAAATAGAAAAGACTTTTTAAGGTTGTTCTCAACTTTCAAGCATTGATATCATAGGGATCTACAATTGTAGTTGTTTGTCTGAAATAATCTTATATAGTAACAGTTATAATGTAATAAAATTGTGATGTTTTTACACCTATTTTACAGAATGTTCTGTTGTGTTTGAGTTGAATGCCTTATCCTTACAACATATGACCCTCTCATTTGAACATCCACTACACAATACAATGGTCACAGGTAAGACATATATTTTGTCTTTACTTACAATATATTAATTTGTTTTAGATTTGTGTCTAATGTATTCACACATTATGCATTTAGATATTTCAGAAAGTATATATTAAAAAACTTGTATACCAGGGGTCAAAAGACTTTCAAGAAATTTCAAAATTTAGTATGATTGCCAATGAGACAACTATCCCACAGTCCAAATGACGTGGATTTAAAGCCTTAATTTTATATTTTTTTCAAAGGTAAACAACTAGGTAGGACAAACTTATCCCTGCCTATATAAACCTTATGGAAAGAACAAGTTTTGATATACGCAAGCTGTTATGAATTTTCATTGTGTAAATACATATTTTGCAATCCGATTTTTACTGTAAATGTGTAATTCACATAGTAAAAATTATTGTCAGATTCCACACAAAAATACCAAGTTCTTTTCACTTGCTTTATATAAGCAGGGAAACAGTTTGTACTACCTTTTACCTTTGATATGACTGCAGTGAATAGAGAACTTGTAGGGAAAAGCATTACTCTCTTAAATTGTTGTTGTTATTACATATATATATTTATTTCAGCTGAAATAGATTTGAGTGATATTACATATCCAAAGTTCAAGGTTATTTATAGTGAAGAAGAACAGTCACTTTGTTCAGAAGATTTAGCTGGTAAAATATTTCAAAGGTAAGATATAAAGTAAAACAGTGAGCCTGTAAATTATGTCAAAGGTAAGATATAAAGTAAAACAGTGAGCCTGTAAAGTATGTCGAAGGTCAGACATAAAGTAAAACAGTGAGCCTGTAAATTATGTCAAAGGTAAGATATAAAGTAAAACAGTGAGCCTGTAAAGTATGTCAAAGGTCAGATATAAAGTAAAACAGTGAGCCTGTAAAGTATGCCAAAGGTCAGATATAAAGTAAAACAGTGAGCCTATAAAGTATGTCAAAGGTCAGATATAAAGTAAAACAGTGAGCCTGTAAAGTATGCCAAAGGTCAGATATAAAGTAAAACAGTGAGCCTGTAGAGTACTGTGGATTCATTTATTTTCGTGGGTATCAATTTTCGTGGATAGAGAAAAATGGACGTTTCGTGGTATACGTAAATTCGTGGATCGCTGATTACAAAAAGAAAAAAAAAGTTCAGATACGTAATTTGTGGATTTCTTTTTAATTCAGGAGATCATATAACCTCCTTGGTTTGATCAATAATAAAACAAACAAAAAAGAAGCAATTCATTGAAAAAGTTTTGAATTGTCAAAATCCTCGCTTGGTCATTCTAGGTTAAAGTGTTCATTGAAAACTTCTATTACAATAATGGACAGAGACAGCTAATTACTTGTTTGTTTTACAATTTATAAATTCTTGTCGGAATTTTATAAGGCATTCAAAACTCTATGATTGAAAGCTCATTTCCCTAATCACGATATAATAAACAGTCATATAAGTAAAAGGTGTGAAAATAAATGTTCCTGTCATAAACAATATTACCTACGGGCAATATCCACCAAGGACGTATGTTAGTTATACGTCCTTGTATCCACGTACTTAATCCTATTGATTTTTAATCACCAGTAAACTACACTATGACACGGTAATTAACAACTTGCAGTTATTTTCCATGAACAGTTTTATTCAATTTTAAAAAGTAAATTATCACTGACATTCGATATATTTATTATTGATTTAATCAAAATACTTGTATCTTCTTTCAATAAAAACATGTGTTATGTTACAATGTTTATCGCTAGTCAACACTATACTAGAACTGCATAACATAACCGGAAATAAACATCCGACTCCATACACATTTCTCGGGATTATTCTTCGTTGAATTCTTAAATTTGTGGTTCGCTGTGACCCACGAAACCCACGAAAATTGGTATACCACGAATAAAAATGAATTCACAGTATGCCAAAGGTCAGATATAAAGTAAAACATTGAGCCTGTAAAGTATGTCAAAGGTCAGATATAAAGTAAAACTGCAATATGTCAGTAGTTAGTGGCTTGTATAATATTCAATGACTGCAATATGCTAGGAATCAATGGGGCAAAACCACCAAAATTGAAATAAATAAATACACTTAATTTAATTTTTAAACTGAAAAATTGCCCAGAAAAAATAAAAAAATTGTGAAAGAAGATATTAATTACCCAGTAAGACAGTTTATGTAAGGAAAGGACAAGAAGTTTTATTTTTACAGTAGTGTTTTAGTTTGAACAAATGTATAACTTGTACTATTTGTTAGTTAATCAAAATGATTTCCTATTTTAATTATGGTGTGAAAAAATGTTGATAAACCATTGAATATTTATATACTCTTAAACTTGAGTTCGATGAAATGAAATTGAAAAAAGACAATACAAATTGATACGCAGTTTAAAGCAAAACATGTGAAATACACGTTTCAAAAAACAAGCATAATTCTTGATTAAAATTTTACATAACTTGATTGTGGTTTTATGTTAACAGAAAGAAAAGGGTAAAAAGGGTCAAATGTATGTACAAATTTTGTTGTATGTTATGTTCATACTTTGTATTCAAGCAACAGCTGAAACCATATGTACAGTAATCCAGAAATGTTAACTTTTGCTCATAGGGATATTTTCTTTCTCCACATTGAAATGTATTATCAATGCATCTCAGAATTGTATGCAAAAAGAAATTCCCCATAAAAAATAACAATTTTTTCTCGGACATGTCATACATTTATAGAATACACTGATTTAATGATACATTTATAAATGCTAAAACTGATAACAAATCAACTGATCAATCAACTACTCTTCCTAAGACAAGGAAAATCTTTATCTGTTTTTACTACTGTTATAATTAATACATTTTTGTCGAGCCTGCGACTTTTGTCGCAGAAAGCTCGACATAGAGATAGTGATCCGGTGGCGGCGTTAGCTAACTTCTTAAAAGCTTTATATTTTAGAAGCTTGAGGACCTGGATGCTTCATACTTTGTATATAGATGCCTTATGTTACCAAGTTTCCGTCTGTCATATGTCCATTGTCCTTGACCTCATTTTCATGGTTCAGAAAAAAATACTTGAAAAAAAGGTCAACATTTTTGGTAATGTTAATTTCTTTCTTCTTATGAGTAATAGGATAACTATATTTAGTATGTGCGTACCTTGCAAGGTCCTCATGCCCGTCAGACAATTTTCATTTGACCTCGACCTCATTTCATGGATCAGTGAACAAGGTTAAGTTTTTGTGGTCAAGTCCATATATCAGATACTATAAGCAGTAGGTCTACTATATTTGGTATATGGAATGATTGTAAGGTGTACATGTCCAACTGGTAGGTGTCATCTGACCTTGACCTCAGTTTCATGGTTCAGTGGTCAAAGTTAAGTTTTTAAGTTTTGGTCTTTTTTTCTAATACTATATGCAATAGGTCAACTAAAAATGGTGTATGGAAATATTTTATGATGTACATGTCAGTCTCACAGGTTTTATTTAACCTTGACCTCATTTTCACGGTTCATTTCTCAGTGTTAAGTTTTTGTGTTTTGGTCTGTTATTCTTCAACTATAAGCAACAGGTCGACTATATTTAATGCCTAAATTGATTGTAAGGTGTACATGACTGTCTGGCATGGTTCATCTGACCTTGACCTCATTTTCATGGTTCATTGGTCAATATTAAGTTTTTTTGTTTAAGACTGTTTCTTAGAAACAATAAGCAATAGGTCAACTATGTTTGGTTTATTGAATGATTGTAAGGTGTACATGTATTTCTCGTTTGGTTTATCTGACCTTGACCTCATTTTCTTGGATCATGTTAAGTTTATGTGTTACTTGTAGTAAAGCTTTGTATTTAGGACTATCAACATAAAATCAATGGTTAGTAAAGAAGGCGAGACATTTCAGCGGGTGCACTCTTGTTCGTCTTGTTTATTCCCATATCATTTTATTATGCCCCACCTAGGGGCATTATGTTTTTCGGTCTCTGCGTCCGTCCGTTCGTTCGTCCATACGTCCGTCAGTCCCGCTTCAGGTTAAAGTTTTTGGTCCAGGTAGTTTTTTGATGAAGTTGAAGTCTAATCAACTTGAAACTTAGAACACATGTTCCCTATGATATGATCTTTCTAATTTTAATGCCAAATTCTAGTTTTGACTTCAATTTCATGGTCCACTGAACATAATCATAGAGCATAGAAAATGATTGTGTGAGTGTACTATGGACACATTCTTGTTTTATATTATATTATGTATTTACAGTAATGTATTTTACATTTAATAGGTGTCTTTCTGTGCCTGTTACTTTACGGTCAGTAATTAACAAAGTCTCAGATGAAATTCGCAAAGAGCCACCCCCAGAACCTGTGTCAGTGACTATTCCAGCAGATCGTCCACCTCCATGGCCACCAGAACACTATTCTAGTCATTTTAGTCCTGGAAGAATTCCTATGGATATAAAAAATATTTCTCCGAATAGTTTGGCATTTAGGAATTATGGATTGCAACATTCACCACAAATTTCATATAATTTGGGAAATTTAATGAGTGGAATTGGTTCTTCAATACAACCTTCACTGCCTCCAGAGGGAATTTTAATTGAACCACCTGCACCAGAAAAACCTCATAATCCATTGTTAGCTGACTTGTTAGATCGTAATTCACCAAGTCCAACTCCTGAACCCATTCAAAATCTGCCACAAAGTGAAGCACCAATTATGTCTAAACTGTTAGAGGACAGCACTGCTTCAGCTATGGCCTCAAGTATTCCTCAGCCACCACTTAAACCAAAACAAGTGCGTCGTAAGAGAAGCTCTAAAGGAGAGACACCAGTTGTAGGACGTAGTCCTAAACATCAACGTATTTCAGAAGCAGACAGCAATGGATCATTACCACACTTAGACTTTGATTCTAGTGGAGGATCGTTTGACTTTGGTGATGTCCCTAATCCAGGACAGCCTCATTCCATACATAGTCATGGTCATCCAACACTGACAAGACAGTTGAGTATCATTGATTTAACTGATTCACAGGCTGATACTCCTGCAGGATTTTCAGGAGAATCTGAAATGCAGAAGCTTGAAAGTATGGTAGGAAATAAGTTGCCAAGACAGCCACATAGACAAGACAGTGAATTGTCTCAGTTATTGTCAGATTATGGAGATACAAGCCCAACAAAGGAGACACAGTCTCCACACCCTTATTATCATAACTCGGTGCCAAAAAACGATAAAGTGTCTACCTCTCGTGAGGAGAAAATCCTCAGCGGGTCGAGGGAGGTGTTAAAGACCACAGACCCGACGTCACCCAACTACGCACATCAGAGCTTAATGGACCTACTTAGCATAAAGCAAGAAGAGCAGGAACCTTCATATAATTTTCAGAGGCAGAATTCGAATATTTCAATGATTTCATTGACCTCAAATGACCCGAGTAATAGAAAGTTAAGTCTTGGAACTGTGCGATCTAATTCTATGTCGGATTTAAGTGATAGTGACACGTTTCCGTACAAAGAAAAGTCATGTGATAGCACAGCATTTAATGCAAAAACTTCAAATAAAAACCCAGCATTGGCAGCTAATTCAGAATCCAGTAGTTCATTAAAAGTAAAACAAGAAATTAAGGAGGAGAATGTGCATGACTTAAGAACGTTACTTACAATAGGGAAGGAAAAAGCAGAGAATAATGTGATAGAAAAAGATAAATTCAAAAAGGAGGAAGGAGCAAAAAATATAAGGCTAAAAGTTTCAACTGTACAAGGGTTGAGGCAAAGTTCATTACCGAATGAGTTATTGAACACTGGAATTAATAAAAAGTCAAAAGCTCCTTTTGATTTTCATAGTGATGACGATGATGATGATCCGTTTGATTTCAGAGACAAAATGAAAGTTGTATCTTCATCGCCTACACGTCTGCATATACACAAACAAAAACTATACAATCACAAACTGAGTAAAGAGAAGGACAAGAAAAAAGAATCTAAAAATAATATTGTGTCAGGTGAAAAACGAAAAAAAGATAAAAATGAATCGAAGAAAGAAAGGAAGAAAAAACAGAAAATGATGGAAAATTATAAAAGTACCTCACTTGATGAATCTGCTATTTATAAATCTGTTACAGTGGTATCAGAAGACAGTAATAGTAGTAGTAATCTTAAGCCAATTCCTAAACTAAAGATCAATAAAAGTAGTCTTGGCATATCTGTTGGCAAAAGTCCAAGCAGGGAAGTATTGACTAGTAAAAATGAAACGGTGAAAAAATCAAAAGAAAAGTATGACAAACACTTGTCGTCAAGTAAGAAATCATCATCACAGAAAGCCTATAAAGTACACCAGCAATCATCACCGTCAAATAGTATCACTGTTAGCAAAGCAGATTCCAAACTTATTACAAAAACTCCCACCATCAAACTCAAACCAATTGCAATGCCTACAAGTTCATCAGTCAGTGTAGGCTCAGCAAAAACCCCACCAGCATACTCAACAGCAAGCTCAACGAAAGGATCTACTACTCCAACTTCAACAACGATTGGTCGCATGGGAGCAGTCTCATTAACAAAAAGTGGATCTCTTACTCCACCAGCAAGTGTAAAAGCAAGTACACCAACATCACTATCAAAATCATTCCCAAATATGAAATCTTCAAGTAAAAGTACTTCTTCATTGCCTTCTGCTGCTAAAATACCTTCACAAAGATCAAATAGTTCGTCCTCTCACAGAGGCTCATCAGATAATAAAGAAGGCAAGAAAGAAAGAAATGGACCTTCAAATAGTAGTAAAACTTCTAGTGTTAGAAAAAGCAGTTCTCCAATGGCAGGTTCAAGAAATCCAATGAACTTGTCTAAATCTTCTCACTCATCAAATAAAAACCTATCGTCATCTACCTCATCTCCCTTCTCAAACAAAAATCAATCTGCAGATGTTTTGTCTTTTCTCAACAGAGACTCAAGTGTAATTGCAAATCTACCGAAAATTCCAAAAATGGCAAAAACTAATACAGCAATGTCGTCTGGAACAAATAAATCACAAACTACAGAATCTATTTCCAAAGCAGTGACATCTTCTGTTGCTCTTAATAGCAAAGCAAACCCAACATCAACTGTAAGTGCTAAAACAAATTTAACTAATTCAAGTTTAAATAATTCTAAGAGTGCTGTGTCAACCAGTGTATCAAACTCTAGGACAAATAGTGTACAAAATACAAAACCAAGCATTTCAACATCATCAAGTCCAGCTCATACGAAGACTGTTACTACACCAACATCAGTGAAACAAAACCCATTTATAACAAAGTCGAATAATGTGATTCCAAGTTGTAGCGGAGGATTTAGTAGGTCAGTTACAACTGTGACTTGTACAACGAGTTCTTCATCAAAACTTATCACTTCAACGTCAAGTACAACATCAAGTAAAATGGCTACCTCTGTTTCACCTTCTGTTACTAGCTCTGTGAGCAGAAGTTGTTCATCTAATCCTTCAACATCTGTTTCAAAATCTGTGAGTAGTAGTAGCAGCAGTGGCAGTGATTCCCTTAAAAAACCTACACAAAATTCTGCTACACTTTCTTCTGGAACAATAGCAACTGGATCTGCTCAAAATACAAGTCAGTTGTCTTCTAACCCTGTAAGTCACAAATCCAGACCAAGAAAAGGGTCATTAACTGCTGTTATTGATAAACTTACCAAACAGACTTCATATGAATGTAGTTCTGAGGATGTAAATAAGCTGTCAGTGGAAAGTGTTAACCAGGAATCATCATTGAACTTATCTAGTCTAAATGAAAGTGATAAAAATGTGGTAAATTGTAGAACAGAAAAGACTGATGTTACTCTTCATAATTCTAAAAGTGGAGATTTAAAAGATAAAATTTCTAAGGATTCAACTGTTCAAGGCAAAATTCGAAAGGATGATAAAGAGGTTAAGAATAATAATTCTAGCCCAAAGACAAAAAGTTGTGAAAATGTGAAAAAGCATAGTGATTCACCGTCTAAAACAAATTCTGGAAAAGAAAATAAGAATGATGATTCAAGAAATTTGTTTACATCAATACTTAAAAGTGCTTCAGAAAATTCATATTCCCCAAAAGACAAGGGGTCAAAATCGAATGATGGGAAAGTGGTTGTAGATTTATCAAAAAGTGAAGAAAGTGATAGTACATCAGAAGTAAGAAATAGTAACACAAACTGTGAAATGGAATCCAGTCAATGTGAGAAGGTTTCTAATACAAATAAACATTCAAGGACACCATCACCAAAACAAAATCCAAAGAAATTCAATGGAGAAACGGTAACGAGAGAAAGTGTAACGGATAATAAATCAAAAGATTCTGATGTATTTAAAGTGCCTACACCAAAGGCTCACAATTCAGATGATAAAGACATAGAAGATACAGAAAATTATGTGATTAGAAAAAAACAAAGAATTAGTACATCAAAACCTGTTTTATCTCCTTCTAGTCCTGTGAGCAGCCCTGAGTTAGTTATCGACTGTCAAACATTGTCACCAAGAACTTTGCAGAACAAGACAAATTCACCAAACATTGAAGTGTCTTCTGATAAAGTTGGCAATAATACTATACTGAAGACAAAAAATGTTTCACCCATTCATAAAGTAAAACAATCACAGTTACAATCACCTGTACTCATAAAAATGGAACATCACTCTGCTTCACCTACGGAAATAGATGATGATTTAATGAATGAAGCTCTTATTGGTTTTGGTAGTTAAATTAAGTCATAAAATTAATTTCAAGACAGAACTGTATGCAGAAGTTACAAATTTAGGAATGAAAGATGAAAAAGAGCCTAGGCATGTTTTATGGTTTCTTTATACTTTGTAATTAGAAATTCTGCATGTTTTTACTCTATGCTATCAAATCTGATGCAGTGAACTAAGAGAATAACTTTGCTGCCAACTGGTAATTTCGTCCATCTTAGTTTTTGAATGTAATGTTAGTTCAACCAAACATACAAACTTTTTAAAAGAATGGAATTACCAGACTTTCTTTGTAAAGAAAAAAAAAGAGGTAAAATATGAGGTTGATGTCAACTTATTCCAATAAGAAAATGCTTTATTTCTGTGACCTTAAGCATGTTAAGAGGGTATCCAATATCTTGAATAAAATAGATTTGGCTCATTTAATTTTCATAAAATTTTGACAAATAATTACTTTGACCTGTTGACAAATATAAAAATATATCAAGAAATTTGAACCACACAATTTATAAAAATAATTTTCATTGGATACATAGCAGTTTGACATGCACTTATTTTGATCATTGAGAAGCTTGATTTTTCTTTTTACTAATAGTATGTGATTAAAACATTCAGCTGGTTTTTTTTTTAGAGTTAACTCCCTTAGGTGTTCTGTACCCCTTTAAGTTAAATACAATGTTTCATCAGGTATACTGATTTTTACCTGTTTAAGTGTCACATCTTCAAATCAAAATTGATGGTACAAACGGATGGTACAAACAATATTCAGTGAAACTTGCATTTTGTTTTGACAGTATAAACCATCCGTGTATTAATAGATTTAATAGTTATTTCTGTTTTTTTATGAATTATTTGCATTTTGTGTTAAGCAAACTACAGTCTTGACAAATCTGTTCGTCTGTTGGTCATTAGGACCACCACGACTACAATACTGGTGGCCTCAGTGAAAATTTGGTGGTCCTGCATTTTCTGTTAAATTTTTGCTATCAAATATTTCCATAGGTATAAATTAGATAAGACCAATTATATATGGTTCCATATTTAATAAAGATATGATATATATTGTGATCAGGAGCTTCACTTAATACCAGAAAGCATAAAAAAGAACAAAACCACCACAAACTTTCAGTTTGACATGAGGACCGCCACTACACCCAAAATTGTCAGACCTTCCTGATTTTACGTGGTCAGGACTGACAGGAATGCAAGTTTTTGAGTACACTGAAACTTAAATCAATCTTGTAAGTTGTCAATTAAATTTTATAGATTTTGAATGAAACCTTTCCTAGAATATTGTTTAATACATGAATAGTTTGTGCTGTTTAAAAGGACAAATCATGGTAAAGAGATGCTTGAAAATCTGCTTTTTTATTTATTTAAATATGCTTGTTTTTTCTTTACTTCTTTATGTTTGGATTATTTCAACCACATTTTTACGCACTATTAATAATATTTTATGAAGTATAAAATAGATTAAGTACTGTGAACATGGTGAATGTCTTGAAGTTATTTTTTTATGGCAATAAGAATTCAAGGATTGATTTTTTTTTTATGAATTTGTGAACATTAATTTTTGCATTTTATAAATTGTTTATTAATTCAGAAAAGTGTGTGATGTATATTGTATTATGTATATGTGAACAAATTCATTATGGAATATCACATTTTTTGCTTTTTCATTGTATTTATAGCTTCATTATGAATACTGAACAAAACACAGCGACAATTCAACTGCTCTCAGGAATTTTGTTTTGCTCAATTTTGTTGATGCAAAATTCATGATCATTGTGGCTTGCTTTTGACCTAGAAATTGTTTGATTTTAGAAACTGATGTAAATAATAAAAAGATATATTGATATTAAAGATTACTTTTCAAGAATTTTTTTTTTTAATACTTATATAATGGAGATTGTACTGTGGAAACCTTACTTCTTTCAAATGGTCAAAGTTACATTTCACTATAAAAAAGATTTCAACTTCTTTTCAAGTTCTTTTATTTCATTGTTTAGCATTTTATAACCAAATCTAAAATGCACATGAAATGATATGTCCATATTTTCATATTTTTCATATATAAATTGTCTGAAGTCAGTCTATAATTGACAGGTAAAAATTGTTATATGTAGACTGAACAAACAGAGTTCAGAATTTGCTATTGATATTTAAGTTTTAAATGTTAAACAATCTGTTCAAAAGCAGCTCTTCAAAAATTACAACAGGAAACTTTTTAATATATTATGAACCTTGAATTTAATTGTTCAACAAAACACACATTTGTACACTTGTAGGTAGAATTTGTTAAAAACCATGAAAAATCTAGTGCATGTATCAACAAAAGTTCATTTTTTTCCTAAAACCATGGACATGATGGAAATTGGTACCTTTAAAAATAAAGGAATCCACAGTATAAAAGTTAAATGAATGTTAACTTTTCTTACATATTGTCATCAAAATGATTTTTTTTTCTCAGTGCGTAGAAAGCAAAATGCACCCCCCCCCCCCCCTTTCCCACTACCCTATCCCCCCCTTTTCCCACTACCCTATGAAATTGAAAAAAGGAAATTAATTTTTTTTATGTACAATTATTTAGAAGTTTTCAAAAATTGTCATCAACATTTTATATTGTTGGGTAAAGAATTCTATTATTCATTGAATGAAATGAAAGTAACCTTTAAATTTTTTATTTTGTTTACAATATTTGATTTGAAATGAATGGTTTTTAAGGAATCTTGTTTCAAAACATTGCAATTGAAAGGTGAAGATAGTTATTGTCTCATCACAATAAAGGTCAATGAAAGACAACTGTTCGCTATTCAAACAACTGGCAACTTACTTTTATAAATGCTTTATAAACATATATATATATATTTAATATGGTAGATCCCTTATCATATAAATTTTTGTCGTTTTTTGTTTCAATGGCTTGAAAGTCAATGCTTACTTGTTATCAAAAGATTATTTTCTAAGAAAAAAGAATGCCAATACCGATAGGGTTCCTTAATTACTACTAATAATAGAGCAACTACGGTGTGTTCAGTTTATAGATTCGTTAATAATACTTGCTTTAAAGTGATGACACCTGACGTCAACTTCAGGTGTTGATGGTTAAAGGCCTTTTTTTAGTAATAACTGGACAATCTTATTTTATGTTATCACACTTTCAATGAAATGTATAAAACCCAATAACATGTAATGACACTTCTATTTGTTGTGTACCATATTACAAATTTTAATCTATGAAAAAAGTTAAGAATTTAAAAAAAAATTCCAACAATGTAAAAATTCACAACTGTTTGACATGGTATCTCTTAACAGTTATAAAATAAATTTTGGATAAATAATGTTTGTTACTTAGAATGTACATGATTATGTCAAGGTACAGAGAGCCATCCTATCATACTGCATTGTACAGATAAAGGAAGGGATAATTGTATAATATCCTTGATATAGAGTTTCATGTGTTAAAGTTTCAGTGCTATAATGAAGTGAAGGAAGATGTTCATTTTATGTTAGGGGTTTTCTACAGAAAAAAACGTATTTAATTTGAGAACTTTTTATAAATATTATTGTAAATGTCATCTCAGACACCAGGCTTGTAACATTGATGGAACACTGGTTTTATTCTACACAGGCAAATAAAAAGCAATAACTTTTGTATTGTATATTGTAAATAAAATTGACAAATTTTAAGCTATTGCATTTGTAGTTTTAGGAATTGCCCATAGGATTTTTTAGCTTACATGACTATTGGGTCACTGGAAGTTATAATTGACTTTTGAAACTACTAAGTGGAATGTAGTGTTGATGAATCATTAACATGATAACAGCAAAAATGCAATAAATCTTAGAAGAGGTTACCCTCCCTAAAATTACTAATAAACATACAGTTAAGAAAATAAATCAATATTTAGATTCTCATGCTCTTTCCACAAAAATATGGAAAGAGAGGAAAGATTTAATTTTTGTTTTTTCCTTATTTTCACAAAATTGTTAGGAATTTTAGACATGGTGAAATAAAAAAAAAGTAAAATGTATGAAATTGAAGAAAAAGTCCTGTGGATAGAGGAGGATTCTTAAAATCAGTTTTATATTTCTCATAAACCCATACATTAGTGTTTAATATTCTTTTTTTCCCGATTTCTACATTACAAGAATGACTTGATCTAGTTAAAATGTTCAAAGATGTATTGTTAGTGTTTATCTGTTAAAGGCTTGGTTATTTATTGTATACCTCATTATAGATAATGGGTATATAGATGTTAGGTTAGGGATATTTTTATAGGTGCTCAAATTATTAAAATAGATATAAATTAGAAGAGTAATTTCAATAAACCAAAGAATACTATTTTAGTAGATTGAGTGTGGGATGACTGGAAAGATTTTTACTTTGGTGATCAAATTGAACATTATTAAATGTACTACATCTGATAGTATTATTATATAAACCATATTGTATTTTAGCAGACACATTTGTGAAAAGTGATGGGGTACATTTAATGTGATATTTCTAAATGAGGGTACATGTATTAATTTGCTTCTGTACTAAGATTTCAGAATGGTTAAGGTTCAAGGAGGTTTGTTTTATAATTGTATATTATATTTGTATGTTATAATTTGCATAATTACCATCCCCAACAGCTAAACATGGACCATGGTGTTCAGCTTAAACAAAAATGAAATGAAAGCTTGCCAACATCTTTCATGTAAATCATGATCACCCTCAATGATAAGTGTTTCGGGAGAAAAAAGTTCCTTACCAGTGATGAATAGTAACATCAAATAATAAATAAATAATTCATTAAGGAAATATAAAAGGAAAGGGTTCTTATGCATTATTGATTATGACCCTGTAGTATTATGTTGGTGTTGAAAAAGAACCTTGCAAAGATTATGATTAATACTGATATTCATTATAATTTACTTTTTTCGTCCAGCTCAACTCATTAAAAAGTTCAGTATCACAACTTTGTTACCACAAATTTTATTTTACCTGTTTGTCAATAAGTTTGGTCTGAATTTGAACAACATCTCAATTTTTGGTTTAGCATAATTTTAGCCTAAATTTAATGACAACAAAAGATAAAACAATGTAAACTATTGGTTAGATCATTAAAACTAAACAAAACCAAATAAATGATCATATATCCAATGTATAGATGTTGTATGTGTATGATATGATTTCAGTGTGGCCAATATGTGTTTCTGGAATAATTTTACCAGGTGCTTAAGTGTCAGACCAAAATTTTAGAAAGAAAAAAATAAATAAAACATTGGAGTAATTAAAACCAGAAGGGCATTAACTGAACAACAAAAATTGTTTTGAGGTCAACTTTGCTTGAGGGAGCTGCAACTTGAGTTTTGGCTCAATTACACAATGTAAATAATACAGTCTGGAATCACTGCAACTGTTTGCTGCTCTCACTTAGTATTTTGTATTCAATACTGTTTTGGTACCGTTATAGTTTTTTTATGACTTAATTATTTAAGGGTTGAGGAAACTTTGTTTAGTCCTCTTTATCAGTGTGTTAACTAATCTCCTACATTCAAAATGGAACAATCCTTGCTGGAAAATGCTTCATACCAAATGAAGTTGTGTAACAAAACTTTTCAATGAGTTGTTGATAGATTGGTTTTACTTACTTACTGCCCTTTTTTAACTTTAACGAAATCGTATCTTCCATTTTAAAAGTTTTGTGAAGACAAACACAGTCTTCATTGCCATGGACTGAAACTTTATAGATCTGCTTCACAAATATTTATTCTGAATAAAGTTTTTGCATTGGTATCAATATTTTTCAAGTTTTTCTCTCCTAACAACTTCCACTTGATGCTAAGCAAACAACTATCAATTCTTTTCAAACAGTGGAAGTTTTCAGATTTAAGGAATGGAACTATGCTTATCCATTTTTGTTTTTAAAGTTACTGGTTTGTTCCAAAATATTTAAATATAAATGACAATAATTCAATTTTATTAAACTAGATTATCAATTTTAAATGTAGCTGCATTTGAACAAAATGAAATTTGCATACTAAAATATTTGTTAAGAATTAAGTATTTGAGTTAACAAACAATTCTTTTGGCCTTCTATTAACATTATTTTTACCAATAAGTTTTGTCCAGCATTCAACATGTATCCAGCATTGATAACAGTATTTACTTATGCATAAAGATAAATATTTCAGAAGGTAGAAGAGCGAGACAGTTATAGATGGTTTATTCAAGTTGTGGTATGGCTTTTATCTGGAATATGGCAGTTGTCCATGAACTCATTTTTATGAATGACAAACTGAATTGTTTGTTTTTTTTTGTCAGGGTTATAAGTAGTAGAACAAGTATATTTGGCCCAAAGAAATGTTGTTAGGTTTGTCTGACCAAGGTCACTTGACTTCATTAATCAACATTACCACATGTAAGGGTTTGGTATTTATGGTAAGCAAGTTATATGTAGTGTTTTCATGTTTATTGGTTACCATAAATAATTTTTCTTCACATCTATAATTTGTGAATGAAAGTAGTAATTGTTGTTTATAATGAGAGATTTGCAGTATAAAGACAGCACCTGTTAGAGTTTTATAGGTTTACTTTTTGTTTTTTGTCTTGTTCATCTGTTTGTCAATGCACAATCTCATACTTAAATTAGGAATGAAAAAACCACTTGACAGAATTTTTATACTTGTGTATTTGTGATCCTTTTATTCTATTTTATATTCCGATTTTCCAATTACCAACTGCTCCCAATATTTTGCTAAGGGAAACAACACTTGGTAGGACAAACTGTATCCCTGTCAATAGAAACCCGAAGGAAAGAAAGAGCATGTTTTGATGGTTATAATGTATGTAAACTTTTATGAATTTTCATTGCATAATCACCTATTTTGCTATTCAGTTTTTACCAGAAATGTGTGATGTACTTACAAAGAATAAATTATGGCAATCCTACACAATATACCATGCTCATTCCACTCAGTTTGTATAGACAGGAATAGTTTGTCATATGTGCTGTTTCCTCAAAATTAAAATTGAACAGTTGGTAATTGAACAATGAACCATTGATATGATTGATTTTTAGGATATCTAAAAGTAAAACCTAGACCTCCATTTCTGCATATAGGGAAGTTTTTAAGGCTATTCACCTGAAGATAACATTGGAATGAAATTCATTTTTTTTTAATACAAACTATCAGGATTACATTGAAAATATGGACTTTGCAATTTCTAATTTTTATTTTTTTTTAATGTCAGTCTAAATGTGAAAAATTAAATACTTTCTCATTGGTAAATAGAGTAATAAATTGCATTTACTGTCATTTGATCGAATGAGTGAAGCATATTCCTTTTTGACAGAGGTAATATTATTGCTTTAGACAAATGGATGAAATAATTTTCACCAAACTCTTATGTAGTTCTATTCATTTTTCAACTTTTCCAAGATGTATCTGTATTTTGTGATAGACTGAAGAAAAATTATAACCTATTTCATGTCATATAGATTTATAAATTTATATTTATGTGTATAAAATGAATGGCAATTTGTTTATTTTAAATTATGTAGATAGTCATGGATGTACAATTAAAACGAGATGTTTTATTATTATATGTACATATAAACATGTAATATATTATTGTATGTGTACAAACAAAAAGTAAGTGTATGATATCCTCAATTGTAATTTAGAGTGGAATTTGAAAATTCCATGTCACTCAACTATCTCATGTCAAAAATAATAAAATATCAAACAATCTGTTTTTTTCCCTTACAAAAGGTACTTGGTGATCAAGCAGTCTTAAGTTGTCAGTTCAAACCCCGCTTGTGTTCAATTCCAATTTTAACTGACAAGGATTGTCTATTTTCATTAGGAAGGTCAGTGGTTCTCTCTTGGTACTCCTGCTTCCTCCACCAACAAAACGTCTAATTCACTACGAGACATATTATTGTATACCAATGTCCGTCCATCAACACTTCTTACAATATCTCAAATCCACTTTAGCCAGTTCTCATGAAAATTTATCACAACATTAGGATTGACAGAAGAAAGCTCCCTTTCGATTTTCTAAATTTTTGGCCCATAAGTTTTGTCCAGCATTCAACATGTATCCAGCATTGATAACAGTATTTACTTATGCATAAAGATAAATATTTCAGAAGGTAGAAGAGGGAGACAGTTATAGATGGTTTATTCAAGTTGTGGTAGGCTTTTATCTGGAATATGGCAGTTGTCCATGAACTCATTTTTATGAATGACAAACTGAATTGTTTGTTTTTTTTTGTCAGGGTTATAAGTAGTAGAACAAGTATAATTGGCCCAAAGAAATGTTGTTAGGTTTGTCTGACCAAGGTCACTTGACTTCATTAATCAACATTACCACATGTAAGGGTTTGGTATTTATGGTAAGCAAGTTATATGTAGTGTTTTCATGTTTATTGGTTACCATAAATAATTTTTCTTCACATCTATAATTTGTGAATGAAAGTAGTAATTGTTGTTTATAATGAGAGATTTTTTCAGTCATGGGACTTGAATTGTTAGATGTTATGAAATTTTTCACAAATCACACACTAACTCCACTTTTCCTGGATTGATCCTCCAAACTTTACATTATTGTTATCATTGTAAGAAGGAGGCTCTTTTACGGTTTGTCATAAGAGCTATGGGACTTCAATTGTAGTTTATGTAAATTCACATATTGTACCATAACTTGAATTTGTTTGGATTGACTTACTGAAGACTTTACACAATTGTTGGAATCGGTAAACATAAACCATGACAATCTCAAAAAGTTCAGATGTCATTCCAGAGTTCATAAGACTCCAACTGTCGGATAAATAAAAAACATGTTTGTCTCGCCTGCGACGAAAGTAGCAGAATGCTAGACATAGGGATTATAATCCGGCGACGGCATAATCCCTATTTGTATAAAGCTTTATATTTAAGAAGGTAAGACCTGGATGCTTCATACCAAGTATGCAGATAAGTTTCCGTTTGTCATATGTCCAATGTCCTTGACCTCATTTTCATGGGTTAGTGACTGCTTGGAAAGTTTTTATGCCCCCCTGAAGTGGGCAATTAGTGTTGCCCTTGACTATCCTTCTATCCTTAAATCTATCCATCCCATTTTCGTGTCCACACTCCAAAACTCGCAGACAGAGTTTGAATTTGGGCAGTGAGTCACTTAACATTCTAGAGTTATCTGTCTTTATAACTTGGAAAATTGCAATTATGTTTCCTTCACCCAAATTTTATTAAACTCGTACACAATGCTAAGAACAACACGCCGACAGAGTTAAAATTTTGGCAGTATGTCATCAACTGTTTTAGAGTTTATAACTTTGAAAATTGCAATTTTTTCAGTTTCCACACTGTAACTTAAGTTTGTCTGATCCAAATTTTATGAAACTCATACACAATGCTAAGAACCACCAGATGCAGACAGAGTTCGAATTTAAGCAGCGAGTCATTTATTGTTCTCGAGTTATGCCCCTTTTAAACTTAGAAAATAGCAAAGCTTGAGAGGGGGCATTCCTGCTTGTATATCAGTTTTTAAGCTATGTGAAATAGTCACTTATCATGAGTAATAGGATAACTATATGGTATATGGGTTCCTTGCAACATCTATGTCTATCAGACAGGATTCACCTGACCTCGACCTCATTTTATGGATCAGTGATCAAGGTTAAGTTTACATGGTCAGGTCCCTATCTCAGATACTACAAGCAATTGGTCAACTATATTTGGTGTATGAAATGATTGTAAGGTGTACATGTCCAACTGGCAGATTTCATCTGAAATTGACTTCATTTTCATGGTTCAGTCTATTTCTCAGTTACTATAAGCAATAGGGAGTCTATATGTGGTGTATGGAATGATTGTAAGGTGAACATGTTCAAATGGCAGATTTTACTTGACCTCGACCTCATTTTTTTGCGGTCGTATATTGGTATGATGTTGGCGTCATCATCAGCGTCGTCCGAAGACACATTGCTTTTCGCACAATAACTTTAGTTTAAGTGAATGGATCTCTATGAAATTTTACCATAAGGTTCAATACCACGAAAGGAAGGTTGGGATTGATTGTGGGGGTTATGGTCCCAACAGTTGAGGAATTAGGGGCCAAAATAAGCATTTTTCTAGTTTCCAGACAATAACTTGTGGAAAGGTGTATGGATCTCTCTGAAATTATACCACAAAGGGATGGTTAGGATTTGCTTTGGGGGGTTATGGCTCAAACCGTTTAGGAATTAGGGGCAAAAAAGGGGGAAAACAAGGGTGTCCTGGTTAATGGACAAATACTTTAGTACAAAACATAATTTAAAGCAGTGTAAGGGAGGTAATTCAAATACATCATTTGAATAACCTCCCTTACACTGCTTTTAAATTATGTATAAAGTGATGGTTAATGAACAATTAAGACAATTTAAAAGCAGTGTAAGGGAGGTAATCCAAATACAACGTTGTGATTACCTCCCTTACACTGATTTTAAATCATGATTAAAGAAATGCATATTTATAAAGGAAGACCAGTAAAAATATCTGCACATGTTGCATCTTTTTTTATACAAAAAAATCCATATGAAAGATTTGACACCATATTTTAATTCTATTATAAAATAGATTAAGTTATGAAATTGTGGGGGGTCAATTTTTTCTCATTTCAGATTTCAAAAATTAAAAAGAAAAATTCTTCAAAAATTATTTTTAATATGGAATGCTTATAAGGTGTACACGTCTGCCTGGCATGGTTCATCTGACCTTGACCTCATTTTCATAAATCCTTGATAATGTTTGCCTCCTGCATGATAGGATTTTTGCATCTCTATACAAGTTTAGAGTACTGTGATATAAACTAGAATGTAAAATTTTGATCAAAGTAATTAAAGCATGGAATGTAGGTTAGATTGATAATGGTACTCTGTTGCCTGGATGCTGACCTACTCCCATATACGCATTTCTAAATAAGTATAAATGATCCACCTACTTATCGGTATCAGAAATGAACTCAAACGTAAAACTTAATAAAGGTCAATGTAACTTTACAAATAAGTCAGAGTGAACTACTTTTGCCCTGATGCTGACCAAGGTGAATCTTTGCTTAAGCTAAGATGATCCTACTACTGTGGATTCATTATTATTCATTGGATACCAATTTGCGTGGATTTCTGGGTATAGTTGAACCACGAAATTATATGTTCAATGAATTACAAATTTTCTATAAGGTTAACTGCAGACTTTGTCAAAACCACAAAACTGCAAGTTTTCCTCAATACACGAAAATTAGTACCAACGAAAATAAATTGAATCCACAGTACTTGATGATGTTGAGGAAATGTTGTTTAGTATCCAGTGACAAATGCAATATGCATATCAGGATGAGAATATGTTAATGTGTTAATGAATATGAAACCTGCTTTGTTATAGACTGCATGCTGAGCCAGATTTGTTTTGCTAGATCACAAGGTAACAGTCCACAGGAAAACATGTCACCCTAATCAGACAGATTATTCTGACTCTAAGCCGACCAGTCTTTGCTCTTACTCCCAATTGCTGTGTGCTTAGCAGAGAAGCTCTTTAAGACATATTTACACACGTTAAGATGACCTTGTTACATATAATTGCTGAGCTATGAACACGGCCGACACTGGGCTAACCGAGAGATTGGTCGGTTAATCTATATTGAGTATGCGGCTATATGGGCGGTTGGTCTGTTATACGTCTGTTAAGAGTAAAACGCACAATTTAATGTTTAACTCTGTTAAATATACAGATTTTTGGCATATTATGAGAACCAAATAAAAAAAAGAAAAGTGTCTGACAAAATGATATCTATCATAGAACATTTTCCACCTGTAAAATAATTTCATAGCCTGCACAGTTTTCAGTAAAACTAAAAGGCGTCGCGCAAGTATGTAGTTTTTATGCTTATACGCATAGCAATTTTTTGGATAAAAGGCGAAATTTTTTTTTTTTTATATATCATTTAAAGGACACAAAATAGTACTTTGGTTCTAAAAAATAAATTGACATTGAGAAATATTTCATAATTGTAGTATAACTTGAGTAATACCACATTTAAATGAATATTAGGGGAATAAAGTCTGTTAATGGGTTGGACAATTTAAATCGTGTCAGTTAAGAGTTATTTAGCCACGACAATAGTTTTGCTACCTTTATATTTTCTCATTGAAAAAGTTAATGAGATGTACTTGTGAAGAAAAAATGACAATACGGTGCAACAGTATCCTTATAGTAATAGCATTTTTATTTTCGACTTTCTTTGCATTTTATTGAAGGGTGTGTCACTTCAATATAGCGTGATATGGACTGATTGGCCACTGGAATATGCATGAATTTATTATTTACGCCAAGTTATCAATCAGCCTTATTTTTTGTGTATGTTCAAAGTCTGCAACATCTATGAATCTGTCATGTGTTGCAAGGCAGCTGGTTAAATTCCATGCGTTTTCCGGTATGCATTGTCTTTTCTACCAAGTCATCATTGTCATTTTCTATTTTAATATTACACTTTTTGAAACCATTTTTATCAATTTTCAATTTCCATTGTCTAAATTTATGTTTCATTGTTCATGTGTTGTTTCCGTATATTTTAGCCACTCGTCTTGAACCTACCCATTTGTTCAGATAACACCCCATATAGCAATCAAATTATACTTTTATTGTCATTCATAACTCTCAACAGACCAATTAACAGACCGAGTTTTATACATCCAACCCATTAACAGACCAGATTTTTAATAAAAATTGATTTATGTCACCAAAATACAGATTTTCGTGTAGATTTTTCACATAATGATATTAATGTGGTTAACAAACATAATGCCTGTCTTTTTTCGATGTTCAGAATATTGCATGCAAGTAAATTCAACCGACTTGTCATTTTTGTGTACATTTTGTGTGTGTAAAATGTGTATAAATTTACTGATGAGTAATCCGCCTTTTCATTTTATAGATCGTTTATCGAAGCTAGAAAAAAAATAATTACACCACTGGATTCAGTACTCCGAATTGTTTTGCCAGACATGAATAGTTTTTATGATACAAATATATTTAAGAAGTTATACAATGAAACATACTGACCTTGCAATGATTTTCTCGATAACACCTGATTAACAGACTTTAGCCAACACGATTAACAGACCAACCGCCCATATAGCCGCATACTTAATATAAATTAACCAACCAATCTCTCAGTTAGCCGAGTGTCGGCTGTGATGAACTGCAGACATCAAACTTAATCAAAAAAGTCAATAAATCATGAAACCTGGATGCTAAGCCAACTCCCCAAAAATGCATATTAACACATGTTTAGAAGATTCTTTTACATATAGTTTATACTGACATATAAAGTTGGGACATAAATTTAACCATCATCAACTTGGAGCTAAACAGTCAATTAACCATTAAATATGGATCACATGACCTTCTTACATCACAAAGTCAGACTCCCTTAAATGTAACTACATGTAAGGTAACAAGAATATTAGTTTCCCTGAGATCTGGCTGCCGATGAAGCTTGCACATAAATAATAAAATGCTTCGCCGAGCGCAGCCATATACGACCGCAGAGGTCGAACCCTGAACAGTTGGGGCAAGTTTGGACACAATATTCAAGCTTGATACTAACTGAATTTGGATTGTGATCAAAATTTTGACAAAATATAGGTTTCTGACACAAAATAAATGTGGTCAAAGATTTGAAATGGGACATTCAATTTACCTAGTATGGTCTGATATCCAAAATCTAACAACATGGTTAGATTCAGCATATAAAAAAACACCAAAAATTTAATTTTAGTTGAAATCAAACAAAGTTAAATTTTGGACCCTTCGAACCTTAATATGGACTAATTTGAAAACAGGGCCCAAAATAAAAAATCTAAATGCACAATAAGATTCAGCATATCATAGAGCCGCAATAATTCAGTTTTTGATGAAATCAAACAAAGTTTAATTTTGGACCCTTTGGACCTCAGTGTAGACCAATTTAAAAATGGGACCCAATATCCAAAATAGTAATACAAGGTTAGAACCCCCAAAAATTAAAGACTTAATTTAATCCCATCGAAATTGGTTAAAAGATTTGTATTTATTTTCAATTGAAGATTTCTTGCTATTGCACAATACTTAGTTAATCTGTTAAATATAATAATTTACACACCCTGTTTGGTGTGGATCTCCTGCTATATCAGTATCTGTTGCTTTTATATATAAATCAGAAATAATCAATGTAAAAAAATGGGGAAAAAAAATTTTGAACTTCTTTTCAGGAAAAATGTACTATTTCAGAGAGTTCCATAAACTTGTAACACAAGTTATTGTCGGGAAACTAGAAAAATGCTTTTTTTTGGCCCCTAATTTCTAAACATTTGACGCAATTACCCCCAAACTCAATCCCAACCTTCCTTTTGTGGTATTGAACCTTCTTGTAAAATTTCATAGAGATCCATTTACTTAAACTAAAGTTATTGTCCAGAAACCAAATGTGTCTTCGGACGACGACGACAACATGATAGCATTATAGAAACGCAAATTTTTTGCGGTCGTATAAAAAGGTTACTCCAATGTATGATCTACTTTTCAAAGATCAAGGATTGTAATTCTGTCAAACGTTTGTCAACCAATATGAAATTCAAATTCAAAATTTAACAACCAATTATAGATACCAATATACAGAGGAAAATATGGAGACATTAAACAAAAGTCTGTTGGAGATAAGGACTGACAATGGTAAACTACATGCATAGTTATAGGGCATAAATATTCAAAACCAACTTGATCCTTCATCCTACCTTAGTGGTAGAGAAAATGTGAACCACCTCTCCTTGGTAAAGATATATAATTGACAAATATTTCAGAGTTAACATCTCAAATCCAAATGTAGTATATATCATTTTAATTAGAAATCTTCAGCTAATGGAAATAACATAAAATGACTCGAAAGTAAAGTAATCCAGCATCACATTTATAGAAACACTAGGTATTATCAGTCTTATATAAAGTGCATCAAATAAGATATAAAAATGTAATGATATTCAGTAACACTATACAACTATTATTGCTATTGCATATAAAACACAAATAAAAATACAAAGTGTCACATAGATATGAAGACAGAAAAAGAAAAACAAATTATAATGTAGAACTATGAACTGCTCAGCAAAATATGGCTACATCAGGGGTACTCCTTGATTTCTGTATTATTAAACAAGAGTTGACACAATAAAATGTCTCATCTGCTGCAATATTTGATTTATTCTACAGGCCATATCACTCCATAACTGAAGTCAAGATCTAATGAAGCCTGTCGGCAAGATCATTTCAATTTTATCAAGAATAATTTCCAACATACTGACCTAACAAAAATCAAATCTTAAACCCAACCATGAATGCGTTCAAGACCATCTGCTGTTTCAGAAAGACATAAGTACAATTCAAAACAAATACATATATGCCATACTGTAGACCTGTCATGATATATTTATAGTTGCTTAGGAACAGAATTAATCCTGAAAAATAAACATAACTGCATGAGTAGCAAGAGTGTACATGCTGAAATGTCTCACCTGCTTTACTGACCATGATTGATTTAATTTTGAAATTCTTCAAGATAAATTTTGACTACAAGTATCACATATTCTTTACATTAATAATGATGCACGACAATGAAGATAAGGTCAGATAAAACCTACCAGACAGACATATTCATCTTACATTCATTTCATACACCAAATATAGTTAAAAAATTGCTTGTAGTATCTAAGAAACAGACCAAACCATACAAAATTAACATTAAACATTGAACCATGAAAATGGGGTCAAGGTCATATGATACATGCCAGACAGACAACCTTAAAATCATTTCTTGCACCAAAGAGTGAACCCATTGCTTACAAGTATAGTATCTAAGAAACAGACCTAACCAGGAAAACTTAACATTGACCAATGAACAATGAGAATAAGGTCAAGGTCAGATTAAACCCGGACAGAAAAATATGTACACCTTACATTCATTCCACCCTTAATATAGTTTATTTGACAGGTAAACAGGTACCCAACATCATCGGTCTTTTTAAGGTGTTGCCAGGTTTGAAACTAATTAATTTAGCTATAAATGACTGGGTTTGTCAAAATTATATCAAAACTGATTAAATTCATGTTTTAGAGTGAAAAATCATAGGAACCACATTGTTTGCATATGTTCCTGTGTGAGCAGGTGAAATTCATACAAAAGTTTTATCAATATCAATAATTTAGTTGCATAACTTATCAGGTTTCTCGCAAGTATTTATTTGAAAAAAACATGAATTGGCAGAAAGGTTTGGGTGTTTGACAGAAATATACACGCCATAAACATATTTATGTATTTCATCTCTGTTCCAACCTTTATTGCTGACAAGTTAACATCTATTATTAGGAAAACATGTGCCAGTAAACTTTCATCAGAATGTTATTGCATTACCAGTAATAAAGAGTATAGCACACACTTAAGTCCCTTGACAATCCGCACTTCAAAAATTTCTGTTTGTTTACTGAACCCATATAAATTATGTAAAAGTTACTGTCAGTAATTGGAAATGAACATCAAAATATAAAGTATCGGAGAAACAACTCAACCCAAAAAACTTAAAATTGACCAATTTACCAGTAAATAAAGGTCAAGGTCAGATAAAACCTCCAAGACAGACATGTACACCTTCCAATCATTGCGTACAGCAAATATAGTTGGCCTACTGCCTATAGTATCTGGAAATCACAAAAAACTTATACTATTTTTGTTAAGGGGCCAGCTGAAGCCAGCCTCTGGGTGTTGGATTTTCTCGCTGTGTTGAAGACCCATTGGTGGCCTTGGGCTGTTTTATGCTCTTTGGTCTGGTTTTTGTCTCTTTGACATATTCCCCATTTCCATTCTCAATTTTATTAACCACTGATCCATGAAATGAAGTCGTCAGGTAAACCCTGTCTGACAAACATGTAGACCTTGCAAGGATACGAATACCAAATATAGTTATCTAAGTTCTAATAATAAGGGAGAAATTCATATGACAAAAGCAGTTGCTGAACCATGACGATGAGTGCACAGGCTGAAGAGTCTTGCCTGCTTTACTGATCATGATTGATTTTAGGTTGAAGTTCTTGTAGGTAGAGGTTTTACTGTAAGTATCAGGTAACCTTAAAATGTTCCAAGATCCATGTAAATTAGGTAAAGGTTAGAAGAACCCTGCCAGACAGACATGTAAAATCATTCCATATAGCAAAATAATAAAGTGACCAACTATAGTTGAACAATTGCTTATAGTATATGAGAAACAGACATAACCAGGAAAACTTAACATTGACCAATGAACTAAGAAAATATGGTCAAGGTCAAATGACACCTGCCTGACAGTCGTGTACACATTACAATCATTCCATGTACCACATAAAGTTGAACTATTGCTTAAAGTATCTAAGAAACCAATCAAAACACTCAAACTTACATTGATCAATGAATCATGAAAATGCCATAGACATGTACACCTTACAATTATTCCACATGTTCCATACACCAAATGTAGTTGTCCTACTGCTTATAGTATCTGAGAAATGAAACCTAATCAAATAACTTTACCTTGATCACTGATCCATGAAATGAGGTCGAGGTCAGGTGATCACTTTTCTGATGGACATGTAGACCCTTCAAGGATCCTATATACCATATACTATTCGTCATTATAAGTGAGAAATTCAACTGACAAAAAAAATAGTTTTATTAAGAAGTTGCTGAAAAACATGAAAATGAGATGAGGTAGGTGAAAGATTTCAAAATGACAGAAAGTCTAAGTGATGGCAATATATCACATCAGACTTTTGAGTTTGCTAAACTAATCTTTATAAATTTTCTCTCAACACAAATAAATAACTAAAGTGATGCATAGAATATTTTAACTCTTCATATATATATTGTGTTAAAAAAGTACAAAAGATTAAGATGGTAGTCAAATACAATGATCAATGCATGATACTATTGACTAAAAACAGTGAGGTATACAAGAGTATTGAACAACATTTCTATATCTTAAAAACTTTACCAGTCTAAAAATAAATTTTAAAAATCAACCCCCTAAAAATGAATAAAGTAGTTGCCTCAGAACTGCATAGCCTAATGCCCTATATGACAGATAAAAATCATTCACTTCACAGAAAAGAAGTAAACAAGGAAAAATAAAATGTTTTTTTATCATTCCTTCAAATATATTTATGCTATTAAGGCATGTTTAATTTGTTAGTTTTACTTATATTTACTCTGAAAATGTTTGGGTCTATCTGCGGTGGGAAAGAAAACAAGAGGCTCTCAAGAGCCTGAATCGCTCACCTGTATTTCAGAGAAGATTTTTAAATGTTAGCAAACTTGATGAACAAATTGTGTAAAATTGTCTTTAAAGGGCAATAACTCCTTAAGGGGTCAATTGACAATTTTGGTCATATTAACTTTTTTGAAGATCTTACTTTGCTGAACATTATTGCTGCTACAGTTTACATATATCTATAGTAATATTCAAAATAATAACAAAAAACTGCAAATTTTGTTAAAACTACCAATTCGGTGGCAGCAACCCAACAATGGGTTGTTCGATTCGTCTGATAATTTCAGGGCCAATAGATCTTGACCAATTAAACAATTTTCCCCCATGTCACATTTGCTCTAAAAGATTTAGTTTTTGAGATATAAGCCAAAAACTGCATTTGACCCTAATGTTCTATTTTTAGCCATGGAGGCCATGTTTGTCGATGGATACAAACTTCGGATACAATTTATAAACAAGATACCCTAAGAAACATTTAGTTAAAGTTTGAAGGTAATTGGCCCAGTAGTTTCAGAGGAGAAGATTTCTAAATGTAAGCAAACTTGATGAACCAATTGTGTAAAATTGTCTTTAAAGGGCAATTACTCCTTAAGGGGTCAATTGACAATTATGGTCATATAACTTTTTTGTAGATCTTACTTTGCTGAACATTATTGCTGCTTACAGTTTATATATATCTATAATAATATTCAAAATAATAACAAAAAACTGCAAAATTTTGTTAAAACTACCAATTCGGTGGCAGCAACCCAACAATGGGTTGTTCGATTCGTCTGAAAATTTCAGAGCTGATAGATCTTGACCAATTGAACAATTTTACCCCATGTCAGATTTGCTCTAAAAGCTTTAGTTTTTGAGATATAAGCCAAAAACTGCATTTGACCCCTATGTTCTATTTTTAGCCATGGCGGCCATGTTTGTCGATGGATCAAAATTTCGGATACAATTTATAAACTAGATACCATAAGGAACATTTAGTTAAAGTTTGAAGGTATTTAGGCCAGTTTCAGAGGAGAAGATTTTTTAAATAGTTTACGACGACAGACGACGGACGCCAAGTGATGGCATAAGCTCACATGGGGCCCCGGTGAGCTAAAAAAGGTCATACACTGTATGTGCATTATTTTATAATAATATTTATATTTAATAATGCACAATGTGTTATGTAGGGTAGGCAAAAAACATGGAATTACGATTAAGTTTTCCTTTTTCTGAAAATTGCAAAATTTGGTTGGCCAACAAGTAAACCAACAAATTAAAAAAAAAACCTTGGACATGTCTAACAGAATTGCCACTCTTAACCTATGCAATTGAACAAAAATTTACACTGATGAGATAGGAAATGCTGTTTCGGACTGGTAATTTGATTTCGGATGCACATAATGGGTATGCACTATACAGATAAGCTATCTTAGTACCTGGTTGTGAGATCATTTTTTTCAACTTGTTTTGCCTTATATCAATTGATTCATTAGCATTACATACGCACTACATGTATTAATCATTTTCTACTTCGTGACCTACTTCTTCCATGTTCAGCTTTCACAGAAAATTTTGACGTCTTAATTCCATCTTTGGATTTTTCACTCCCAATATTTTTACCATGATGATTAAGTTTATTTGTTTCTTTCTGAAATTTCAACTTCCCACAAGACTTTCTTTGTTTACATGTGAAATTTAAAGGGGCACTTCTACTTAAATTGTTACTAAATTTAGAATCATTGCCCTCTTCAATACTAGAAACCAATCTAAATGGAGTGGATGTACTACAAACACCTTTCAATGGACTAGATGAAAACATTGTTTCTTCATCACAGTTTTTTACTGGACTAACAAATCCTCTCATCTTTTGTGGACTTAAATGATTAAATTCTATTTCATTGTCAACCTTTTCAATTCCATTCTGAATGACTTTTCTCCTCTTTCTTCTGCGCTTTGGAGTTCTTAACAATGAAGAGTTTATAGCACTCTTGTGGATATTATCTTCTTCTATGCTACAAAGTCTCTTTCTTTTTTTTGGAGAGAACTGTAAATTTTTTGGACTAGAGAAAGTTTCTATGATACTTTGTGTATTTGAGGGATTAAATGAAACTTGTGACAGTATATATTCCTCACAAGCATCTCCCCACGAGGAGTCAGAACGTTTTCCAGGAGAGGTAAACACAGGAACCAGGTCATGTATATCATTACTGTCTTCATTGACTAATTCTGCATTTATTACCCATTCCTGATGGGAATTTTCATCCATATCTATTTCTGTTGTTTCCACAAACGAAGCGTCGCTATCTAGACTACTTTCTGCTGTGATATCTTCCTTAGAGAAGCCTTCAAACTGTTCATTATTACCATCATCACTGGCAAGTAGCTTCCCTACACTTCTATCACTAAGTAATGACCAACTTCTATTTAATTTTACTTTCTTTGATTTTTTTATTTCCAAATTTGCTGCCTTCCAAACTAATATTTTCATGGGTGATTTTCCCTTACTAGAACTATTCCCAGAATCCTGATGTAAACATTTCTGAGATTTTTTGGGTGTTTTTTCTTTAGGGTTCATTCCTTTTTCCATACTCTTCCCTATATCATCAAGATAAAATGGTTTTGATTGACTTAATTGTTTTATTGCAGGTATCTTGTTTGTAATATTAGGACCACATTCTGTTGGATATCTTTCATTATCAGTACATGTATGTATCACTCTTGAATGTAAAGGACTGGATCTATGGCTTACTTTTTCAGTGCCTAATGTCAAACAGAATTTCTTCTTTTCTGATGAAATATCTTTGGTTTTGGGAATGTTTTTTTCCATTTCATTTAATTTTTTGTTCCTCTGTCTTTTTCGTAACATACCACCACATGTGACAGTGTTTTTCTCATTTCCACAAACATCTTTAGCTACCTTTACAACTGATTTTTTTTTCTTGTTTGGTGATTTGATTACAGTTTCAGCTGATATAATCTTTTTACTTGTTTTCAAATCCTGACAAGTTTCTGTCAAATTTATGTTTAATTTTAACCTGGAATCTGTGTTGGATGAACTTTGAGAATGAACTGGCAATTTTAGCCTATGAAGTTTTTTAGAATCAGACTTGGCAGTTTCTGGAGTGGAATTAGGTTTGCGCCACATTTTCTTTTTTGCTGATCCAGGGATTGTACTTATTTCGCTTCTTGGGCTACCTGAATTACATTTCCTACTTTGTAGTGTCATTCTATTTGCTGATGTAGGTGTTTTATGTTTTCTATTCAATTTTGGAGATTCTGTCCCAATCAGACTGATTTCACTACTCAAAGCATATACATCCTTACACTTCTGTGGAGTATCTTTGAAATCATAAACATCCATGTTGTTGTTTTTAGTTTGTTGAATATCATTTTGAATTGGTAACAACACTGGTGTCTTGTTATAACCTTTAACCTTTCTGGTAGGACTCAGCTTTGAAAGTTCATTAGTACAAATAGTCTTTTCATTGCAATATTTCATATCATTTGATACTTTCTGGTATTTTTTCTTGTCAGCCATTTCTCTGATATTGTTTGACACATTGGATTTTTCAGTCGAGGCAGTACCTTTAAAGTCAGCCTTGTCTGTTTTGTCTGTGACATTATTCCTCAATGGCAGATTTGACGTTTCAAGTTTTTGCGACCATCTTTTTACAACAACCTTTACATCTTGTGTTTTAACGTTTTTTACATCACCCCAGTCTACCCGGCATAGTGACATATTTTGTTGCATAAAGAATGATTTTGCTTTAGGAACATAATGGTTCTCAATACCAACGTTCATTTCGAGTGATTCTTCAATACTCTTATTGACTTTATCACTGTCACAACTGATTACTTTATTCATTTGTTTATCACTTTTATTTCTTGTTTTACTAACATTATGATTATGCGGTAACTGGTCATTCTTTGCACAACTTTGTTTTATCTTATCTTTGCTAATTTTATTATTTTGTAATTCATCTCCCTTAGTAGTTTGTCCATTTTTGATACAAGTTGCCGCATCCTGAACAATTTTATCAGCAGAATCATTATTGTATATCCTATCATTTTTACTTATCATCAACTGATAATCTTTTAGTTCTTTAGATGTCATATTCAGTAAATTGTCCTCATTTAAACTTGTATTCATTCCTGATGAGTTTACATTCAAAGTTGACAAACTGATCTGGACCTCACTATTGACAGTCAATCCATCTAGTTTGTCTATAACAACATCCCTTTCATTTCTACTAGTATCCGCTTCTTTTCTTTTCCTTTTCCCTTCTGATTTTTGACATTTGCTATCCTTAGTATTTGATTCATTCCCATTACATATAATCAAACATTCCTTTCCTTTAATAGAACTTTCTTCCTGCTCAGTTTTACTATCATCAACATTTTCCTCAGTTTTTATAATACGTTTTATCTTTTCTTTGACATTTTTAGTTTCACCAGCTTGTTGAACAGTTCCAGTACTAGGATTCTTCTGCTCTACAGTGAAGTCATTCTTTCTTTCTTTTCTTTGTTTTTTCATTGCAATTTTGGCTGCAGCAGATTTTCTTGGAGTCCATTGTTTGGCCTCAGGAATTGATGTATCTATATCTTCACTGAAATAATGAAAATGAAAAATGTTCACATTTTGTACCACAAAAAAACTGCAACATACTGCACCTAAGTACTCATTTCCATTAATACCTTTAAGCCATGCTTCTTAATACTTCACATTTTCCATAAAAGTTTGAAATGTAAATGTATTACCACCTAGAATATCACTTTATACTTTGCCATATATTTCATCTTTTAAGAACAAAATATTGAAGTTTAAACTCTATCTGTGGCCAGATTATTTTCCTTAACAAAACCATAAAATGTTAACTGTACAAAATAATTTAGATACCCCAATCATTTAAGCAGATTTAACAATGGTTAATAATAGGAAAGCTGACAGCTGATGTTTACGGGTTAGATAAGAATTTGCAAATAAATTGTTTATAGGCATTAACTTTTTACTATAAAGTTGCATTCGTTTGCAACATAATAATTTCAGAAAGATTCAATCCTTGATTTTTTTTATCTTGCAACTGGATTTAAAAAGTCTTACATAGGTCAATGAGGGTATAAGATGAGACTGTCAACTCACTGGAAAATTGTCTTATAAAGTCCAAAAGTAAAGGTATGGCTAATTCTAGTTGATTTGTTCAGGTTTATAAAAGGGGCATAAGCTACAAATTGACAAAAAAAATCAAACTATGATTTTTTTTTTTAAACATTTATAAAAGCGGAATTGTGAAATAATATTTCGCTATTAGCAGTCAGTATGGTCCAATTTTATCAAAATAAGCTCAAAAACATCCCTGATTCATTACTGGCTTGCAAGTCATTAATTCAACCTCATTTACATTAGTATTCATGTGAACTTCCATTTGACCCTTAACTGGAGATAGGTAAAGCATGTGCTGAGCATATTTAGTTAATAATAAGAAAAGAATGTCCACATTGAAAAGTGAAACAATGCAGCCACTGGGAAGAACCCTTTTGTTGACTGATTCTGCCCACAAAATATCAATCTTATACAGGCAAAACAATGATTTACCTATTTGTTTTAATCTATGACAGTAAATCAAACAGACAGGTGTTTTAGTGTGTTATAAATCATATATGAGAATTTGAGTTGAATTTGAATGCTAATGCCCCTTTAAAATAGAGGACATACCACATTAATTTCTAAGCAAACTAAAGCTTTATTATGGATAAGTACCAACCTTCAGCCTATTATACAATGTATATAGAGGAACAACACAATTGTGATCTTTCTGTAATGCCAAGTTTTATCACATCTACAAAGCTTTATATAATCTCTTAGTTATTCACCTGATAGTCTTGCCTTTTCTCAGATGTGTAGTGAGAGTTCTCTGTAAAAACTTAGCTGTGTTACAGTTTGAACCAGTCTTAATCAGAATATCTAATGATTCATAATTCTTTTTATCCCTAACAAACTGCTTATGTTGTTCATTCCTGATATGCTGCAATGTAATAAACAATAATTAGTTTCTATCACGACACTCTTCAATTACACTTCATGCAAAGAACAGTCTATGTAAATTAAAATAATGTTTTCTACATTTTGTTGTCAGAATATATGTGCAGTATACCAATGTACACTCTTTTCAAACTTTCAGGTCTTTGGTATAAAAATAATGAGAGATGATATGATATGATATATATCAAATCTTTTCTATATGTACGTCACGAAACAAATATATCAATCAGCATAAGGGTAAAAAGATTCCAGGTATAGAACCAAAGACAGGGTATGTCAGATTTTTTATATAATTTAACTTTGTACTTCTGGTACCAACAGATGTTATGTTGGATGGTCATTGGAATAATCATCCAAATTTTGAAGGGAAATGACAGATGTATCATTAACTTAAAATTTGGTAGCATTTTTCTTTTTCATGTTTATTCAGAATTTTGTTATGAATTCTTTGCTCAACTTTCTATTTCTAGTCATATTTGATAGCAATTTGTCATCAATCATATTTTTTAAAAGATAAAGAATAGATTTCAACATTTTCTAAAGACATCTTTTTATTGATTTTATAGATTAGCCTAGCAGCAATATTGATAGGCAAAGATCTAAGGTATCATTTGAAACAAGGCACTCTAGGAATGATTGGGGTCAAGTTTGGTTGTAATTGGCCAAGTAATCTAAAAAACGTTGTGTGCTTAGCATAAAAGTATAAAATGACAATTTCAAGAATCTGTTCAACTTAGCCAGGTATCGAATTCATGACCAGCTGTATCGAGGGAGCATGCTACCATGAGACCACAGACGCTAAAAAAAAGCTATATGTCCCAGCCACTTGGTTGTGGGAGCATAAAGTTACCATTTATCTTATCGAGTTTAGGCCAAAATAAATATTGTGTGTTTCCTATTTCACCTCCAAACAAATAAGGTAGGGTAGGTAGGCAAAAAATTTTATTTTATGAAAACATTTTATTTCATGAAAACTTATTTTTTTTCTATTGATGACACCAGAAAAAGGTTCCTAATCAAATTGTTTGATGCGCCTGCTTCTTTGATATCTAGAATAGTACTTAAATCTACAGCTTTTTAAATTTTTCTATTTTAGTTCTGTGTCAGAAATATGAAAATAAACTTTAATACAAATTTTATGCATTTCATGGGTCGTAATAGGAATATGTTCTCGCTGATTAATTATCTTAAACAAAAAAGGGCAGTGAAAAATCAATTATGGTATGTTACAGGGCTTTCAAAAAATATTTGAGCCAGCCGGACATTATATGTCTTATCCCGATTTTAATCCCTTAAGACTTAATAACAAAAGGCAATTATGGACCATGGTAATCAGTTGGCCATCATATAACCAATGATTGACATTAAAAAAATGATATTAAACTTTACTTTGATATAAACTCGATGTTCTGATGTAAAATGTTAAATTGACAGAGCATCATTCGAAGTGTGCAACATCAGCGTACTAATATCTGCCTTAGACTCTTTATTTGTGCAAAATAACGTTGTCAAACTCTTTACTTTCGTTTTTAAAAGCACATTTCCTAATACCGGATGTTGACTTGACAATGGTAAAACATGGACCAGAGAGGGATACGTAAAATCTGTGTACGTTTACAAAGCACGATTGAGTTTAAGTAGCTCTTTCCACGTTATTTCTTCAAGAAAATACTCGAAATGAACATTAGATAAAGGTATCAATGATAATTTTATCATTTTTGAAGAATTAGGGAGCATAATTAAATTTCCCACCTGCACACTCGTGTACTAGTTCAAACAACGTGGTTCTGACGATTTTTCCTTTAAAACCTTTTTAAATTTTTCATCAAATCATATTTATAAATGTATTTCTGACAATATTAATCTTTCTGACTAAATTAATTAGATGCAAACCGCTTAAATGTAAGAAAATAACTTTGAATAGACCGATCAATGTCCGGTACAAAATAGTTTACCTGTCGCCTGAACAGGTAAATTTCAGCTGTCCGACAACTAATTAACCTTGATTAAAATGATAAAGTATTAAAGAAGAGTTTGTTTTGATAGTACTTAATCATCATGTCACTTTTATGACTAGAAATGTGTGACTGTTTAAGCAAAAGGTCGGGTCAAAAAGATCAAACTTCCAATTTTTTTTTAATTACTGTAAATTCAGAAATTATTGCGAGGTTTTTATTAATGCGAATAATGCGACTGGGTGAGTATCGCAATAATAAGAACTCGCATTTTGATATCTGAAACATATATCTTTATGAAGATTTTCCTGAAATCGCAAAAATTAAACTCGCATTTATGTCCATTTTTTAACAATCGCAATAATAAATGCACGCAATAATTTCTGAATTTACAGTATGTTAAAAGAATCTTAAAATGACCGTCTCTTAAGGAAGCCATGAAAACTAAAAGTAGATGACGGTTTCATGCTTTTCCCAGACGGACAATGTCTGGTAAATTTATAAATGTCTGGAATATATGACCGTTTTGGGAGCCATGGTATGTTATTATGTTGGGCTTCGTTGAACCTAACAATGTAAATGACCAACAGGGTACACATGTGGGAGCAGATTAGTCACCCGTAAAAACACTGAACCGATGCCAAGAAGCGGTTGTTATGATTTTTCGAGGGGCAATACTCTGCCCTAGCTTGCACCCTCTTTATTTAATATACAGATGTGTTTTGATGTTTGACAGAATGTGATCTTGAAGAGTGGGTGGTTCTGACAAAATTAAATTTCTAGGTTTTGAGAAGAGAATGCGAAATCTCTTAATCTACTGGTCAAATAAATTGCAGATATAAATATGACATGAATTTTTTTCCTTTTCTTGTATAAATTGTTAAGGGACCAACCAGAGAAAATATAAAAGAATAAAAGCAGACATGGTGCGGGGGCAGATTCATTTATAAATGAACATGAATCATACACCATGTCTGCCTACTGAGGAAAGCTTCTGTTCCTCTTTCTCGTTACACTGTTGTCTGCCCCCTGCGTCCTGAGCACAATTCTGTACAACATTCTTAATAGACTTTTTTACAACAAAAGCTGGATTGATTTTAGCAGTAAATTGAACTCATTTTACTCTAAAAATTGTTCGTCAATTAACAGACAGAATGAGATACAGTCTGTCCAACCTGGTCTAAAGAAGCACAGGTACAAGACGAGATTTTGCTAATATATGTCTATATACTGAATACACCATTCATTATATACACAAATATTTAAAAAATCTTGTCTTGTACCGGTGCAAAGAATTTGAGCAAAATGTGTCAACTTCATACTTTATTACATTTATAGGTCCATCATGATGTTCTTCATAAAGATTCATCATATCGTAATTATCCGGAATCAATGTCATTATATTTTGCGTCCATGTGATCACATTTTGCATATTTGACAGCTAATACGCTACACAGTTGTTGAAAAGCCATGCTTGTTTATCTAGTCTTGGTCCATGAAACACTTAACTTATCCATATTGGTCGTTATTATCAAACGTTTTGAAGATCTATAGTATTTTAAACGAATAATCGGATCCGGACAGACCAAAAAATCTGGATTTTTAATATTTATTAATTTTTGTCAATAAAATGTTTAGGGTCGGCGTCAGAAACGGAGTTAGGGTCAGGAAACACACAATTTATATATTTGGCCTTATGACGGTTTAATTATTTTCATTTGAACAAACCTGATCTATGTTTTCATATCTGATCTGACAACATTCACAGTATCCGCGTTTCTTCTCTAATAACCTCTTCCGCTCTGCTCTACGTCTAATTTCTCCTGCTGTCATAATCCTTACTGGACCAATAATACTGTCAGATTTTTTAATTTTCCTACAAAGTAATATCTTGTAAATCTTTCACTGTAATATAGAAACTCAAAATAAAATGATTGATACTATGTAATTTTGCCATTTGGACCAGCTCATCAAAGAACTTACCGGTATTTTAGTACCATCTATCTAAAATGCAGATCACAAAAACTTGATGTTATGTTGAAACCAGACAACTTTTTTACAATTCAGTTTGGTAGCTTTAAATGTGTTTTCAGAACATAAAGTTGTTTTAAAGTAAAAACCCATAGATACAGTAATGTGTCAAAGTAAGAATTTGGTGATAGGTAGAAAAATTACAACAAGTTTGACAGAAAGATTTCATTTAAATTAGCTTTGCTGTCATAGAGATAACAAATGAGCAAATTTAACGTTAATCTACAGTAAACCTTTTGCAAAGAGCAATAATCTATACTATTTGTTGAGATTGTATTGTGGATAATTATTGCTGTTTACAGTATCTGTTTGTGTATAGATATAGAATAGTTTTCCAAGATTAAGACAAAAATGCTAAAATCTAAAATTAGTAAAAATTATGATTTAAGGGCCATAAAATATGGTGCCAAATTTTAGTAATTTCTGCAGGTCTTTTAGTGGAGATCATTTGTGTTATTTATAGTTTATGTTTATATGTTAGATTCAGGGTTTTCAATAAGTTTGAAGTGAACAGGCTTTTTACTAATTTGAAGTGGCTGATAGAAGATATGGGGGGGGGGGGGGGGGTGTCAGGGTGTGCTTGTTTTTTTTTACATTGAAAATGTTGCACTTTGAGGCATTTTCAGACTGTTTACAAGTGCATAAAAAAACAAGGTTTCATAGGAATAATATCTTTTTTTTAGCTTTTGTTTTAGTAAGTTTAATCTTATTTGTAAGTTGTGATATTGCTTATCAAATAAAAATATGTTGATATCAATAATGATCTTAATTATAATCAATCAGAATGCCAGATATTTCCAAAAGGTAAGAAAGTAGCTGATGGGTCATAATCAACCATTACCAAGAAATCAATGCAATCAAGTTGAGTAAACAAGAAACAACCTCAAAACCTGGATCATAAAAGTTACCAGTCAAAAAACACAAAAATAATCGATTCTAACCATAAAGAAATGAAGGCAGTATTTTTCCTAGCCAAGCCAAACACACAGTTAAATTTTGTGAAGAAATGAAAACTTGAAAAAATAACATGCATAAAAACGAAAATCGCAGGCCAACCTATATGAAATTTTTGTGATTTTTTTTTTTTATAATCAAAATTTTCAGAGTAGGTTAGACTATAAGACTATAACAGAAACTGGTAACAGGATAAACAATACATGTACATTGACCTGTTGCTACACTGACTTATTGAGTGTTCTCTTTCAGCTCCACATCAATAATTATACATGCATATACTTGACAACCATATCAGCATTGAATGGATCCGAAAATCATTATGATCTTTATTAAAGAATTGTCAGTCACAACAAATATCAACTTTCATTTATTTTTGCTTGTTTACTTGTCATCTAGGAGCTTTACTAATATGTACAATTATCCTTTTTCAAAGCGCACAAATGATCGCATTAAAAATCAATCCAGATGTCTCGTTCCTTATCCATCTTCGTAACGTTGTGAAGAATCTATAAATATATTATATCGCAGACCTCGAAGAGAACACCTAAACAAAGCGCAAGCGAAGGCAAAAGTTAATTTCAATCAATAACAACTTGTTTTACGCAACGATAGCAATGCTTCATTTATTCTATTTTTATTTGGAAACACAATTTGAACTGGAGATTTCCTTAATTTGAAACAGGGAAATTTCGCCGGGTGCCAGTGCTTATTGAAAACCCTGTAAAAGATTTTTTTTCTAGTTAATAGGCAAAAATGTAAGGAATTGTCAAAAACACCATTTTAAAAGCAGAGCATATAAAACAATTTCATTTAAATTGAGTCGTATCTGGTTGTTTATATGATAATAATCTTTCAGCAGTTTGATATCGGTATGTTCAAAACAGCCAACTGAATTCATTTCTTTTCAATCATTGTGCTTTCGTAATCACTAATTTTTCCTTTTTTTGATTTTCTTTTCTGACCAATTTGGCAAATGAAATAAAAGAACATTTAAATGATTCTGGGTGAAAAAGTGTAATAATTAATAAGAAATAAAATAATTTAAGTAGCTGCTAAACAAAACATTTTCTATTTTGTTGCTTTATATCATTTCATTCAAAAGTAAATTCAAATACAAACAAACCCATCTACTGGTGTATTGCTATCACATGTATCATCCCTGCATTCATCCTCAGAATGTACTTCTATGTTGGGTAGCCCAATCTTGTCTCTCCTGTCCACCACAGACTCATCATCTTTCCCAACTCTGGCACCATCAAATGGACAGGTACCTTTGGGTGTGTCTACATTTACATGTGGCCATGTTTCCAGATGTTTGTATACAATTTTATACTGATGACTGTTGTCTTCAAACTTAATAAAGGGCCTCTTTAGTTTTTTAACTAAAAATAAAAAAAAAAAGAAAAGTGAATAAGTTGAATTGATTACCAACAAATCTTTAATGCTTTACAGTCGACTGCACATAATCACATACCAGTTAATTGCATAATTATATTCTGACTCCAGAATAATCTTCTCCTGCACAAAACCATTTCCTATTCATCTAATGTTAAAAAATCTGGTTATCTGCATAGCCTAACAAGTGGCCTTCAGTTAATTGCATAGAAATTCATCACCAGCTAGATATGCTTAGTTAAAATTGACCAGGTTTTTTTTTACCGGAAACTATATTTTTCTTGAACACATTTTTATATTTACTTTGGTGTTGTTCAAATAAAGTATAAAACAGTTTCTTTCGTGTGTATATGATTCCATATTAATTTCCCTCATTGTGTACAGGTAAATTTATTTGCCTTGTTATATTTTAAGCCTTGATGATGATGATGCTGATGATGGATGGCTGCTTAACGTCCAGCTGCAAATTAAGATGCATATTCAGGAAGAGAACATGTAAATGTAATATGAATATTTCCCATACTTTGTACTAGACCGACATGCGGAGCCAGATTTTGAACGTGCTAGTTCATTAGGTAACAGTTAGCAGGAAGACACGTCATCTTACCCGGACACTTTATTCTGACTCCAAGCCAACCAGTCTTTGCTCTTACTCCTTAATGCTGTGTACTAAGCGGAGAAGCAGTAACTACCAATTTTAAAGTCTTTGATTTGACCTGGTCCAGGTTGGAACCCATGACCTCCCGCACTCTAGGAAAACACACTACCACAAGACTGCCAAGGCAGTTTTTAAGCCTTGAGGATTTAAAAATGTCAAACAGGTAATTGTTGTAAAAACATGACCACGCTCTCTAAAAAAGGTGTTAATTATAGATGGATTTCAAACAGTGACTACAGATTACATTTGGGGTGAATTTCTTGCAGATTTCCACCAAATTCACAATTCATACATAAAATTACTATCTGACAGACTATTTTATGAATTGATTGATTTGTGTTTAACGCCACTTTCAGCGATATTGGATATTTTCAATGCGGTCAATTTTATTGTAGGAGAAAGCCAGATTGCCTGAAGAGAACCACCAACCTTTCGCAGGAAAACTGACAATCCTAGTCAATATAGATTGGAGTCAAGGGCACCTGCCACATGCTGGGTTTGGACTGCTGGGAGTGATACAGTTGGACTACTTAGACCACTTTGCAACCATGGCCCCCAAATATTTTATGAACATCTGAAGCATGTTATTTGAGAGACTCATTTTACAGTACACAACTTTCATAATTTAAGGGCCAAAAATGTGGCCTAATTAAACCTCCACCTTTACTTTTCATTATATTATTTTATTGTGATAAAACTAGGGTTGGAACCCCTTCAGGTAAATTTGACCTTAGAAAGATTTAGTCGTTGTGTTACAAGCTCTTTAGGTTTTTATTTGTATATTTTGACATTAAAGACTGTTGGTCTCCTGCATGTTAGGTGAGGGCTGTTTCAGATAGACATGTCGTACAGTGAAACTTGGTTATGCACAGGAAAGCTTTTAAATAAGATAAATTATATCAGTTTTCTTAAGTTTGTTACAGGTATCTACTTGGAAAAAGATTGGAAAGATGCTACTATAACTTAAGGATGCTTGTCAAAAATAAAAATGTTCATAGGTTGCACTGACATGTCAACATCCAGTATTAGAAAATGTACGCTTAAACAAATCTTAAGTGTTATTGCAATAATAAAGAGTTGAACAGGACCTAAGTGTCCATTTGCATAACACAATAAAAATGTTTCACTCTTATGTTACAGAACTGTGAATATATGTCCACAAAATATTTCAGGGAGTAAAAAAACAAACTTTTAAATGATGGAATTTTACCTTTAAAATCATCTCCTTTTGATGTAGAACAATTTTTCTTCCCTTTCAAATCCTGAAATATGTCAAACTTATTAAATATTGGTATAGACTCATAATTTTTTGTGACTAATTATTGAAATAGCTTTTCTAGGTAAAAGGTTTCTATCATAAATTGTGGTACTAGTTTATTAGTTAATTGTCCTGAAACAACAAACCTTTATTGTCCTGAAACAACAAACCTTTATATCAAATATGAATATGGTTTTTCTGTTATCTAAAAAATTGTACACAAGTTTTATGAGCCTAAAATAATTTGTTCTTTTAGAAATGATTTTAAGTTGAATATAACTATACAGAGAATTTGGATGTTTACCTGATATATAATGATATTGCAATGAAAATACATTATGATCAAAGCTTAAAAATGTGAACTCTACTATATGATCTTGTTCCTGACTGAGTTTACAAATGGCAATTTACTTGAGCCTTTTTTATTCAATCTTGATAGGCCTTCCCTTTAAAACACCATAGATTACGTGCAGGATTTGGAGAAAAAAAACAAACAAAACATTATTAATACTTTTATACATGTTGATATTTAGTATTTCATATCTAAACTGCAAAAAGTGTAAATAAATGTATCTAACCTTCTTAGTATCATGGGGTAACTTAAGAACTTCCTTCTGTATCCATTTCTTGGCAACTGCAAAATATAACCATTACTAAACATTAATATCATGTTTATCCTTCATAATATATATTAAATCACTCACGTTCACAGACAGACATAAATTTATGCTCAAGCCTATTTCTAGTGTTATGTTTAATACAAATTACAAACTTTGACCTCATATAAAATGTTTACAGAAAATATCCCTACCTTCCAATCCAACTATCTTTACACCCCATTTCTGTGCATTCTCCACAACAATATTGTTCTGCAAAAAGTGAGGAGATAAGATCATTAATGTAGGGTATAATAATATTTCACAAAAGTTATTAGATTGGTTTTTATTATATTTAATGTACCATGTCTACTATGTACATGTATTTATACAGCACATTTGATAAAGCATTTGTATTGTTATTGCTTTCTTCATTTTGAATGATTGTTTAAATTATAACAGAAAGATGGTAGCCCTTCTGAAAAGAGAAGGCATTTCAAAAAGAACAGCTGTACAAATGTATTAAGTTTTGCTTTATTTTTATAGACTAAAAGGCTGTACCTTAGTGGCAATCTTGGCTTTGTTGTATATGGCTTTCCCCCGAGAAACCTGCAAATAAAAATCAGACACTTTACACATACAGATATCGATCATTTTGAACTTGTTTATATTGAATCACACCAATCTCAGTGTTTGAAACAGGAAAATTAGTACACCACAGTAGTCTATTGGTTTGTTGAAGAGGTTTTAATTTACATTCAAAAGATAATGGGTTGCAATGTGGCTAAATTCATTAACACAATGTAAACATTACATACACTGTGAAACCCAACTTAGTCAAAGCTTGTAGCTGATAGATTCAATATTGACAATGAGTTAAATACAGCATCTGGATTATCTGGCAAAGAAAACAAAACTATTTCCCTAGATTGCTAAGTAATGTGTTCCAAATAATGATTCCTTACATAATTGCATGAAATTATAGTACTGCAGGATGTGCCTAGTTACTATTCACGTACGACTGTATAACTGGCTACTCTAATATCAGAAGTTCAATTAAGTTGCCTACATCATGTTTTTTTATAACACAAGTAAAATCGGGACTATTTTTATCTATTAAAACAATTTCATATAAGTCCTTCTTTGTTTTAATGGTTATTCTTAAGATTAGTTCTAACTCACCTTGTAGTTTTATAAAAGAATAACTGAAAGTTTAATGATTACAAGTGTAAGGGCACTGGACTTACTAGCTTACATAGTAAACTATCACACCTCAGTGATTTTTAATCATTGCATCTAAATATGGTTTCCTTTTGGAAAAACAGGCTTGACACATGAGTTGTGAACTGTTCTCAAATTCAAAACCCTTTGATGGGAAATATTCTGTTAGTCACAACACCAGGGCTGTATGTATGCTATCCACATAATCAATATACAACTGTAGGTTAAATTTACTAACTGTTGGGTTTGTATTTTTGACACTCTCTGGATTACTTGGTGAAGGGGATGGACCCATGTTAAATGGACTAGGAGTAGAAATGGATGGACTCTCTGGAGATCCATATTTGTCGTCATTTCCTGTCTGTTTTGCTGGTGGGTTGGCAGTTATCAAATAATTTATGTCTTTACTTAGAAATGCTTCTACTTTCTGCAAAAAATAAAATAAAATCTATGTTCATTATTATGAGATATCAATTAAGCTGTTGTCATGATACCAAATATACCAAACATACTTTGTCTCACTTTTTTTTTAGAAACTTGTCAGAAACCAGATAGGTAGACATATTTACACGATCATCACCAACTTTGCTTTCAACTGTCTTTTTGCTTGTTGGATGAAATTTTGTTTAATGCATTTCCACTCATATCCGATTGTGGGTTATTGAAGACTTTTTCATAAATAAACAAGAAATGATTGTAACAGGATGCTGTTACGAAGTCTCCCAAACGAAGCTCCCATAATTCGTAATTCCCAGGGTCGCCCGACATTGGACAAAGTCCAGTAAAGTTATATGCATTAGTGATGCCTGGGGACTAACCCTGTATATCATTCAAATCATCTTGGCATGACAAACCAGAATATATATGGTTTAGGGGTGGGGATCTTGACCATTTACAAGATACTAGAACATTGGGGGTGGGGGGAACCCCTGGGGACTGACCCTATAGGTCATTCAAATGTTCTGAGACATGACGAACAGGAATATATATGGTTTAGGGGTGGGTATCTCAACCATTTGCAAGATATTAGAACATTGGCATGGGGGTGGGGGGAAGCCCTGGGGACTGACTGTATACGTCATTCAAATGTTCTAGACATGATGAACAGTAATATATATGGTTTAGGGGTGGGGATCTCGACCATTTACAAGATATTTGAACTTTCTCAAATGGCAGGGGGTCGGGATGACCCCTGGGGACTAACCCTGTATATCATTCAAACCATCTTAGCATGACAAACCAGAATATATATGGTTTAGGGGTGGGGATCTCGACCATTTACAAGATATTAGAATTTTCATAAATGGCAGGGGGTGGGGGTGACCCCTGGGGACTAACCCTGTATTTCATTTAATGTGCTTTATCATTCAGAACATTTTCAATTAAAAAGATTGTGTCTATCACAAACGGTTTTCAATTTATAATCATTTGAAAATAAAAAAAAAAAAAAATCCCATAGGGTTCTATAGTAAAACCCTCCTTTCTTTTTGCCCCTCAAAGTACCCCTTTATAAACCCTATTGCACAAACAAAACCCTGATTGCACCACTAGACATGTTAGTCTTAACATATTGTGAAACCCTAAGTTAATCTGACAAGCGGTTTTGGAGAACGGGTGCGGACAAGTTCAAATTTTAAAGCGGCATATATGGTTTAGGGGTGGAGATCTCGACCATTTACAAGATATTAGAACTTTCTCAAATGGCAGGGGGTCGGGATGACCCCTGGGGACTAACCCTGTATATCATTCAAACCATCTTAGCATGACAAACCAGAATATATATGGTTTAGGGGTGGGGATCTCGACCATTTACAAGATATTAGAACTTTCTTAAATGGCAGGGGGTGGGGGTGACCCCTGGGGACTAACCCTGTATTTCAGTTAATGTGCTTTATCATTCAGAACATTTTCAATTAAAAAGATTGTGTCTATCACAAACGGTTTTCAATTTATAAATCATTTGAAAATTAAAAAAAAAAAATCCCATAGGGTTCTATAGTAAAACCCTCCTTTCTTTTTGCCCCTCAAAGTACCCCTTTATAAACCCTATTGCACAAACAAAACCCTGATTGCACCACAAGACATTTTAGTCTAACATATTGTGAAACCCTAAGTTAATCTGACAAGCTGTTTTGGAGAACAGGTGCGGACAAGTTCAAATTTAAAAGCGGCGGAAGAAGAAGAAGAAGAAGAAGAAGAAGAAGAAGAAGAAGAAGAAGAAGAACAATAATAATAAGAACTGAGCAAAACCAATAAGTCTTCCCAAACTTCGTTTGGGAGACTTAATAAAATAAAGGTTACTGATTACATTATTGTACTCACAGCTCCAAGCTTGATGATATCTTCTTCTAACCGTCTCTTAACTTTAGTTTCTTTGATATCCAGGAAGATACTTTTTCCTGTTAAAGGTGTCTTTGTTCTTTTCTTTTCAATGAAATCAAGCTTTCTTTTACCCTTTGGGCTTGATTCTATAAATAATAAAAAAAAAAAAAAACTTTCAACAATATTACATTCCTTAGTCCAAAGTTTTTTTATTTTTTGTTTTACAGATTTTTTATGTGAAAGGATCGTGTTGGTGAGTCTAAAAAAAAAAAAATGTGTTTTTAATATTTTACCCACTCCCAGTACAAGAATTTAGACTTAAATATGCATAGAATTACTGTGTACTACAGCTTTATTATAATACTTGTGTTCTCCTTTTTTTGTCATCATTCCTTAAATCTTAGTGCCAAACTTTTTTTCTAGGCTGTTTTAAACATACAATGCATGTCATCATCATATATAAGTTCATAAAAAGGGGGGTTATGGAAATATACAAATGGGACATAAATGGTTATTTCATGTTGAATCAAAAAATGAAAAATAGGTATACTTTGCTTTCTATCAATTTTCACGTAACAGCGATTAATGATCTACTAGAAAAAATGAAAAATGGTAAACATGTTGCATAAAAATAACAGGGTTACTTATTTAAGTAGCAAATTCGAAGTTTTGTCATAAATTGTGATTTTGTAGTTTTACCAAAATTTTAAACACATAGGTTTAGATAATATCTTTTCATTAGTAAAATTGAAAAACATGAACTTTTTGCTTCTTTTAAGCAGCAAGGTTGATGCAATCATTTAGCTGCAAATTCTATTTTAGTTGAAAAAATGCTATAAAAATGGCTTTACATAATGAACTGATACTTTCTGAACAGATTTTCCCCAGCAGTGGGAGTATTTTTCCTGTAAAATTCAAGGTTTCATCTTGTAATAAAATTCTACTGTTCGCGATCAAAATTTCACTCTTCGGGGGTGTTGAAATTAGTGGGGGTTATTAAAATAATGATACTTAAAGAAGTGATTTTTTGGAAGGAAATTGAGGTATGATACTTAAACAAGTGATTTTTATGTCATTATCCTAGATTTAGTACAAGGTCATCACCTGACATGACCCGGTCATCCTATCAACACAGATGTTGGTTCTGATAATTTTAGCAACATAATAAGTCCCTGGATCATTAGTATTCTATATTTAAAGCTACAATAAAATTAAATCACTTAGACTAGTGATTAATTTGTACTACTTCAATAGGTGATTATTAAAGAAAGACAACTCTTACTTCCAACCTTTATGGACATTATGTTACTTGAATCAGTGATTTAGAAAATCACTCATTTAAGTAAGTCCCCGACTGTTGAAAAAGAAACTTGTCGAGCAAAAACTTGTTTGCATTGCAATTGCATTGAAATGAGATTGATTGTGCACAATAAAATAGAATAACTTATTGTTTTAGATTCTATCATGTACAAAATGAACCTTTAAGGTATTTATCGCAGATATAAGAAATAAGTTCAGTAGAAGTTTATGATTTTAAATAAAACAAACCAGTCTGTGATAGCATTTATCTACAAATGTGTGTTATTATTAACTTTCCATTCTTCCTGTAATTCAAGTTCAGCGCTAACTGAATTGAAATATATAGCTAGAGTTTGAAAAATAAAGACTTCCTTATGCAATGGGAGGATTTACTGTGTCTATGAGTAACAAATTTATATTATTTTCATTCTGATGAAGGCATACTTCCTTCTTTAGAGCCAAGCCAGTTTTCTAATGGTGAAGGAGATAACTTTAACTTTTCTAACCAGTTGGTCAACCATGATAGTTGAACTAGCAAGGGGAAATTTTTTAAGGTTGCTAGAACCATAAGTGCATGAGGAAAGCACCTTTAGTTGATCCGGGTTTCCCCCAATATAAAAACTTTAAATTCCACAAATTAAATATGTGGATCAACAGCAATTTATTTATACAGCTCTGAATGTCACAATTTGCTATTCCTCGAGATTGTACTGGAAAAATATTACTTGCAGAAGAGAAACAGGATACCTGACAAACAGTATCACACATTAGGCAATTACCGATCCGAAACTTTTATGGCTTTAACTTCTGAAGTTCATAAGATAGTCCGTTTTACAGATTCACAATGTACCTCTCAGTCTATTTCACAGGGCCGGTAAAAATAAATGTATATGTAAAAACGGAACTTTTTCCCTGCAGTCTTACAGTTGATTGTGTTATACACATCACTTATACAAAGTTAAAATGAGTTGTGGAAACCTATGAAGTGAAGACTTAAATGACTTGAATGTGTATGATTTAAAATCACAAAATGAATAGATAAAAAGAGATTTCTGTATTTACAATTTCATTAATACATGTTCAAGTCATTTAAACATCAAGAAGCTGCAAGCCAAATATTAAAATCATTCCCTTCAATAGGAGCCAATCAAAAAAGTTTGAGGAAAATTTTCCTTGTAGGATGTTTGTTGTAAAATGTCAAATTATCTTTATAAAAAAAAAATTCGTAAGGGTTCCGCGTAACCCAGTGTCTCGCCTACTTTTGCTGTTAATCGCAGGCTCAACAAAAATGAGGAAAAAAATCAATAAAATTATTCCTTTAGATACTATCTTTTGATTGTAAGAAGCTTCTGTCATAATTTGGTATAAATCCAGGATAGTTTATGAATCTAATAAATGTTTTAAAAACTTTAACTGCAGACTGTATTTAATGTTAACTGGAAGAAAAACTAAGTCCATTTATAAGTAAAATACGGATAAACAGGTACAAAATTTTAACAAAATTTCCTTCTAGATACTAGCTTTTGATCATAAACAAGCTTCTGTCCAAGTTTGGTACAAATCCAGGATAGTTTAAGAAAGTTATCAAAATTTTAAAAACTTTAACCACAGAGTGAATGTATTATTTCCTGGCAGAAAAACTAAGTCCATTTATAAGTAAAATACGGAAAAACAGGAATTTTATTTTTACAAAATTTACTTCTGGATACTATCTTATTATCATAAACAAGCTTCTGTCTAAGTTTGGTAGAAATCCAGGATAGTTTAAGAAAGTTATTAAAATTTCAAAAACTTTAACCACAGAGTGAATCAAGGTTGGGCGGTATTTACCACCCCCGGTATTTACCAGTGGTATTTACCGGTATTTACCGCCCCGGACAATACTCCCCAAGTGGTCAATACTGGCAAATACTGGTCAATTGAAATTTTCATGCTTCTTTTGACTGACTTATCTATCAATTCTAGTAAAAAAATGGTTGATGAGGGAAAACTTTATTCCTTTGGCATGATTCAATTTATAAAAATCAATGATATTGGTATGTTATTAATTATTAAAACATTAAAAATGACTAATTTAGTTCTTAGGGGTAATGATATTGCATACTTTTGGTATACATATAAAATTGAGCAGCTATATCAGTTATTCTAACATGTATAAATCAAGATATTTTTTTCTTGAAAAGGTTTGAATTTTACAGGTAAATAGAATTACAAGTGACTAGCAATATAGATTATCAGAACATTACCTATTATATGGCTAACAGGTGTCAAAAGTTTAATTACTATAACAACTGTCCCCTAATAAATGTTGACATAACAGGAAAAAAGTCATAAAAGTGATTTCTAAAGATTGTTTTAAACAATGAATTAATTCCTGACTATTCAACAGCATGATAAAAATGTTCTAAATGCAGGAATTTTTTTTTTTAATAAATATATAACATATATATGTAACAGTAAATTTGGTCCGGTAGTAAAATTTGTCCGCCAGACTTTTTTTCCTAGTTAATCAAGTCCATGGCCAAGATTTTACTAGGAATGTAAGTCCTAGGACAAATTTTCCTAGGAAAATAAGTCCATAGCTAGTAAAATATGTCTGGCACTTATTTTCCTAGGAAAAATTGTCCTAAGACTTGTTTTTCTGGTAAAATTAGGATCATTTTCTAGTATGAGTTCATCATCATTCAAGGTCAAGGGTAGTTAAAAGTGAGCTTCTATATTAAACAATAGAAGCTTGACCAGTGATTTACACAATGAATATCTTCAAAACAAAATATCTCTTCTGTAAACATTTATATAATAAAAATTGGACGTTTTTACCTAGGAATATTAATGACATGGACATGATTTCCTAGGAAAACTAGTCTGGGGGACATAAATTTTATTAAAATATCAATACACAACTCTAAACCAATATTTAAACATAACATAAAAATTTACCTTTTAAAATAAAGGACATGGACGTTTTTACCTAGGAATAACAATGACATGGACATGATTTCCTAGGAAAATTAGTCTGGGGACATAAATTTTATTAAATCATCAATACACAACTCTAAAACAATATTAAAACATAACATGTAAATTCACCTTTTAAAATAAAGGACATGGACGTTTTTACCTAGGAATATCAAAGAGAATGGACATGATTTCCTAGGAAAATTAGTCTGGGAACATAAATTTTATAAGAATATTAAAACACAACTCTTTAACAGTATTAAAACATAACATTTAAATTTCCTTTGTTTACATGTCACTAAATGATCTAATTCATTAAAATTTACCTTTTAAAATAAAGGGCATGGACGTTTTTACCTAGGAATAACAATGACATGGACATGATTTCCTAGGAAAATTAGTCTGGGGACATAAATTTTATTAAAAATATAAAAAACACAACTCTTAAACAATATTAAAACATAACATTTAAATTTCCGTTGTTTAAATGTAAATGATTTAATTCATTTATATTTTTCCTATTTTAATAAAAGACATGGACGTTTTTACCTAGGAATATTAATGACATGGACTTAAATTCCTAGGAAAATTAGTCTGGGGACATAAATAACTAACATCGGACTAAAAATACTAGTAAATTCTGTAACCATGGACTTTTTCTACTAGTAATATGTGTCCGCCCGGACATATTTTACCAGGACAAATTTACCACTTACATATATATATAAAACAATTTTTTAAAATTTTTTAATTGCATCTTTCAAAATAACTGTTAAGAAAATCAGATGTTATATAGTCTCTCTTAAGTGACTTACTTCATGGTGTTAATGACTATATCTGTTGTATGATTAAATTAATATTTGATAAATCTTCATTAAACCATGTTCATGAACTAATCAATTGTGACTTTTTGTCTTATTACAATGTAGTAAATAAGTGACTTTCTGCCTTGTGACTATATCTATCCATTTACCAAGTAATTGACCTGAGGTAGGGACTAGTTTTATAGTAAAGTCCTATCAAAATTTCAATTGACCAGAATTTGCCAGTATTGACCAGTATTTGCCAGTATTTCCCGGTATTTACCGCCGGCATGGTCAATACTAGTATTGACCGCTTTTTTGCCAACCTTGGAGTGAATATTTGTGGACGCCGCCGACGGAATGTAGGATCGCTATGTCTCGCTTCTTCGACTAAAGTCGAAGGCTCGACAATAAGGAAATGTGGTATGATTGCCAATGAGACAACTATCCATCAAAGTTCAAATGAAGTGGATGTAAGCAATTTCTGTAACGGAAAATATGAAACAATTCAATTGAGAAAACTAACAGCCTAATTTATAACAAAACAATTTATGGAAAACAAATATGACAGACATGAACCAAACACAACCATTGAACTGAACTACAGGCTCCTGACTTGGGACAGGCACATAAAGAATATGGCGGGGTTAAACATGTGAGCGCTCATTGTTCAGTCAATTTTTGGTAAATATACTTTTGGCAAGGCTCTGTATTTATACATCCTACCATTGTGTTATGGTCATTTTATGTATTCTTGTCTTTCATTTTTGCTTATGTACTTTATCTATAGTGTGTTTATATGCCATTTTGTTTTTCGTTGTTGAAATAGTTATGTCTTTTTATAGTGATTAAGATTTTTAGCACAATCTTGACTGCTGTACCCCAATTTTTGACATTTTAACCCATTATGTCCGTTTATTTTGCTCACACATTGTTGTCAATATAATGGAAATTTTTGCGACTGTCGTACAAGTGAGAGGTTTAGCTAGCTATAAAACCAGGTTTAATCCACTATTTTCTAATAAGGAAATTCCTGTACCAAGTCAGGAATATGAGTTGTGTTCAATTTGTTAGGTGTGTTTGAACTCTTGATTTTGCCATTTGATAAAGGACTTTCTGTTTTGAATTTTCTTTGGAGTTTGGTATTTTTGTTGTTTTACTTTTTTCTGGCATAAAAGAGGAAGTGGCTATATGGCAGATGTAAAATTTACTAAACTCGCTTAAACTCAAGCTGCAGACTAAATATAAAATCATTCTCTTTCATACAAGACTAGAAAACTTTGACAAAAGTTTTCTTTTGGAAGGACAGACAGAGCGAGTCAAGAGGTTACTATATCTGCTCCCACCTTAGGCTCAGAAGAAATAAACACGAAACTGTACTGTTTTCATAAAAAATAGGGGTTTCTACATAAATCAGAAAGATCAATATCTAAAAAATATTTGAGATTGATATTTATTATGATATTGGCTGCCAACTTCGGGATCACCAAATTATGTATACTGGACATTTTTGGACGGGCATGGTGATTTGCCAATAATTGTCTGCCCAACATCATCATTATTGGAGTGTTTGTCTCATTTCTTGATGCTTCTTAGTAAACCTAAAATTCATTCAAATGAAGAACGAAATAGGTGCAAACATCATGTGAGTAAGTTTATATGAAAGTTTCACAAAATTCAGTCAAGTGGTTCAAGAGAAGTTGCGATACAGAAGGGGGCCATTTCTTGCTAGAAAAGGCAGCTCAAAAGTATTCTCCTGAGCTTATGTAGGTTGGAGAGGATCCCAGAGTTCTTGAAATCTTTTTTTTCCTGGTGGTCATTAGGACCACCAAGACTAAAAATCTGGTGGTCCTTGAGAAAATCTCTTGGTCCTGTAATTATACCCCCACTTTAAAAAAAGGGGGATATACTGTTTTACCTCTGTCTGTCCATCCATTAGTCCGTCCGTCCCATGAATATTTTTCGTCGCATCTTTTTCAGGAGCTACATTACAAGGATTTCTGAAATTTGGTTTCAGGGTTTATATGAGTCAGCTATACTGTGTGATGCGCTTTCAGATTCATCACTCAACAACTTCCTGTTTACAGAACTCTTGTATCATTTTACACATGATAGCCAAGTTGAAAATTTTCATCACATTTTTCTCAGGAACTACAATACAAGGATTTCTGAAACTTGGTTTCAGGGTTTATTTAAGTCAGCTATACTGTGTGATGCGTTTTCAGATTCATCACTCAACAACTTCCTGTTTACCGAACACTTAATATTTTTTCACTATTAAAATTATCCACTTGCGGCGGGGGTATCATAAGTGAGCAGTAGCTCGCAGTTTCACTTGTTTTACTTGAATTTATCAAACATCTATTAGTTACATGTAAGTCATTGCTCAATACTATATTAACTCCATCCTAGTTTCTATGTTATATATTTGGTTGTTTTCAATTAAATTTTGAACTCTGCATTAATCACTAATTTTTATACTTTGTCAGTTTGATTACATGTTTGTTTTATGTCTCATGCATTATACTACAATCATTTACAGTGAGAAGTGCATTAAAATGATAGAAATAAAAGACTAAGTCTGATGTTTATTCCTCAGCTGCAAATTTTGTAATATAGAAAAAAATTTCAGTCTCTGTTCAAATACAAAGTCCTCCGGTTGGTTTGAACGAGATGGGCCATGCGGCAGCCATGATGACTTTTACGACTGGTTATTTTTTAAAAGTATTACCGTGATTTTGAGCTATGCTACAAAAGTTAAATTACATTAGTTACCAGTTCAAAAACTATCTGAATACCAAAGAAACCGACGACTGGTTCTTTTTCAAAAGTATAACCGTAATTTTGAGCTATGCAATTAAAGTTTGTTAACATTAGTAACTAGTCCAAATAATTATGACGTCTTGCAAGGCTATTTTAATTCTTTTATGTGACGCCTTCCTACGACATCATAACGCTGTAGCCATTTTTTACGTCTGGACTTTGAATTTTGGGGGGAACTTTGAGACCCAATTTTGGCATGAAATCTTCATTGCCAGCTAGAAATATTTGCATAGTTACAAAGTCTTACCTTTTTTGTGCTTATTGATGCAAAATATTTCCAGAAATATCCAAAAGTAATGATAAAATAAGATACGATTCCATTTGAGGCGAGCAAATATTTACTTTAATTTCAAAATGGTTTCCCCGAATTTCCAAAATACGTCACTTCCGGAGAGTATAAAATATCAAAATCGGTTGAATTTGATGGACCAGAATTTTCGAAACGTTCGATTTGCATTATCCGGAAATTCGGGTCTGCCAAATTTTACCAAGTTTGTCGGGACTGAAGGTTTTCGAGAACTCTTGGATCCTCATAAATGGGTACTTTCCTCATTTATGGGTATTATACCCCAAATTGGGAATCAATTTTCAGTGATATAAATATAATCTTTGCATTTACAGATATTTTTTGTTATGGCGCAAACATTCGGGTAAAGCCTAAAGGACAACATTTTGACTAAAGACTCTAGGACTGAAATATCATCTGGATAAAAGTTAACAGCCTTCAAAAAGTAGAATTTTTGGAGGCCATTATCTTTGTATTCAATTCTCAATTGAACTATTGTCTTAAAGGGGAAAATGTTGCCATTTATATCAATATTTGCACCATGACAGCTATTATGATGAAATACAAAATTTGATTTTCTTTCACAATAGATTGATAGTGATACCCGATTTCGGGTATAATAGAAATAAGATGTGGTATGAGTGCCAATGAGACTTCTTTCCATCCAAGTCACAATGTGTAAAAAGTAAACAATTATAGGTCAAAGTATGGCCTTCAACACGGAGCCTTGGCTCACACGGAACAGCAAGCTATAAAGGGCCCAAAATGACTTGTGTAAAACAATTCAAACAGGAAAACCAACAGTTTAATCTATATAAAAAACCCATAAATGGAGATCGTACCCATTTATGAGGATCTTCCCCAACCTGTTTTCGTCTAAAAAAATCATAAGAGCTATAGTTCCAAATCTTCATTCATTCAAATTATATATTAATTGTACTTAACGGTGGAGGAACAGAAGAAGACATTTTTATTGATACATGGATATAGTATTGTGTATTGGATTAGACATTCTTTCCGTATAATATTGTGTGGTGAAGGATACTATTATATTCGACTCCATTGGAGGTGTGCCTACATTGGCAGAAACTACATTGATACAGATACAGATTCCCCGAGTGGCTTACTTTTCTTGTCATGTCGCTGATTTTTCGTCATATCTATACTTTAAAACATCATCGCCTTGCCGTCGACATAGATCATAATTTTGAAAATCCAAAATACTCTAACCAAGCAATTCATTCTGTTATTTTCAGGGTGATTATTGATAAGATTGATTCAGATATTTGATAAATGCAATTTCTGTGTGTGTATTTTGGTCAGCAGCAAGGTTTAGACAGTTTTTTGATGTTATTGTGTCTACTTTCATCTTTGAGGTTGCCGCCAAACAGAGTCTCGTAGTAAATGTTGTCTGTTACCGTATTGGTTAAAAATAATTAGTCCTTGACCTTCTTTTCGGAATTTCTTTTTTTGATTGATTGTGTCAAATACCAAAAAGAAAACACAAGAACGCTTATGCCCAAGTCGAACCAAATACTCGAACCCAGTCTTAACCACTGCATATCTTTTACAAGCGGATACATTACAAGCTAAGGTTCGGTTTGAACTGACGAAGATGCTTGTTCACTGTGTCAAGCTAACAGAAATCACGTTCCAAATGCCTAGTCTTAAAAAATGTGCAATTTTGTGGGAATAGCTTAATATGAGGAAGGCGCTACCTTGAATGCCAGCTTACCAAGACTATGTCCTACATATTGATTGATTGTTGGTTTGCTTAACGTCCAGTGGCAAATATTTCATGCATGTTCAGGACGAATGTCCTACACATAGTTTTTGTCTAAAATAAAATAATAAGTTCAGATGGAAAATGTTCAGGGAACGATCATTGAACTTCCAAAGGCAGGATGGAGTATGTTTTTTTTCTTCAAAAATATTCTGATTCCCAAATTGATGAAAAAAAAATATTCTAGTCAAGCAGAGGACAAAAACATATTCTGAATCCAGATTATTCCCAAACCTTCTAGTGTCAATTTTTTACCAAATAATTTTGATAAACGTATTTACACTTTTGGTATTTAGCTAAATTCTGCCTCCAAATGACCTTAGATCTACTCCGAATCACCTTTTGACGTCAGGCAACAATCACTTTTTAATTATGCCGTCAAATGTTTTGAATTATGATGTCAAAGTTTACGGGAACCTGTGTGATTTTACGTAATGGCGGACATATTTGCATATAAGTGTAAATACGTCTATTGATAACGTTGTAGCCCTTTACGTGAAACTTAAACAAAAATTTATACCCCAACGCGCCCTTTTGAAGCTAAATAGTTGCACCCTTATTGTCCATATTGTTTTCTGCTGAAAAAAAATTTATTGTTGATTTATCTAAATGACAATGCTTAAATTCATTATCTTGTTCCATTTTCAAATCCATTTTTCTTTCTTTGCAAATTTTACAAAATTTAAAACAATAAGACATTTGTTTAATTTCAAAACTATGAATACTGTTATACAATCCATAATAACTTTATTAAATTAATTTTTTGTTGGTTTTCATGAAAAGGTGGAGGATTTGGAATATCTTTTTCATTAATATCTAAAAGTTGTAGCTGTTTTTTTTTTATTTAGTATTGCAAACAAGCTTCCTGTTTGTTGAACTATTTTTACTTTCTAAATTAGCTGGATGTTCATATTGTATTCCCAGTTTCCTGCATCTCATATATATATGTGATCAGCAAGAGGATCATTCTGATTGTTAAAAGAAGAGTTTGAATTTACAGTGAGCCTGTTTAGAATAATGTTTTGATCAGGTTTTTCATTTTGATCTAAGCATAAGGAACCATAAATAGGATTGTTAAGTTGATAATCTAAAGATTTTGCTATTTTCTAGGATGCTATTTAAAATTTGAGGGGAGATCACTGCTCAGCAGTATAAATGTATTTCTGATCATCTTCTGTTTGTGGGTTTCTACATCAATTTCATGTACTAATTCAGAGTCAGTTTTATGTCATTTTTGCATTTTGTTTTATTAGCTTACTTTTCAAGTTTTTATACGACGGCAAAATAAAATTCAGAATGGAAATGGGGAATATGTCAAAAATTTGCCTTCGAGTAATGCAATCATGTCGCTGTTGTTGTCCGAAGACACATTTGGTTTCCGGACAATAACTTTAGTTTAAGTAAATGGATCTCTATGACAATGTAGAAATTGTACCAGAAGGTTCAACTTCAATACACAAAAGGAAGGTTAGAATTGATTTTGGGGGTTATCATATGGTACCAACAGTTTAGGAGTCAGTGGTCAAAAACAACATTTTTGGGTTGTTTTTTCCATAATTTTTGGGTTTTTTCTCCAAAAATTTACCATTTTTACATTGATTATTTCTCATTTATATATAAATGCAACAAATACTGATATGGCAGGAGATACACACGAAACAGGGTGTGTAAATTATTTTATCGGTTATTTGTGCATTTTTCCTTTGATGTGTACTTCTTGATAATGTTGTCGTCAGTATCAGTGAACTGGTCATGATAAAGAAAATATATTGGGTCAGTTCGCAATTGACATGCGCCAGTGCACCGCAAAAGGATCCTCTTTCCCTTTAATTCACAAATTTGCACATGATTTTTTTCGCAGAAACGCACAAGTTATTTCAGGAATGAAACACTTGTCATTGTTTGTCGTTAGTTTAGCCTTTTTGAACGATTCACTGATTGTGTGAAAATTTGAATCCGGGTCCGTTCGCGCCCAATCACGTTCGCCCCCATGCACGTTCGCCCCCCTTTCACTTTTGCACCCTACACGTTCGCACCCAGAGTCCGTTCGCACCCTACACGTTCGCGCCCAATTTTTATTGGTTTTGTGTTTAATAATTTGTAAACGAGTTTTGGTAAGTGTATTGCTATAAATATATATTTTTTCATTGTTTCTAAATAAAGTGAGATTCTGACAAGTTTTTTTTTGTGTCATGGTAAATATATTGCTATAAACATTTTTTTTCATTGTTTTTAAATAAAGTGAGATTCTGACGACCAGTATTTTATTTTTGTGTTGAATAATTTTTAATCATGTTTTGGTTAGTGTATTGTTATAAATATTTGTTTTCATTGTTTCTAAATAAAGTGAGATTCTGACAACGTTTTTTGCATGTGTTGATAAAATCTTAATCATGTTTTGGTTAGTGTATTGCTTTAAATATTTCTTTTTTATTGTTTCAAAAGGAATTGGGATTATGAAAACGTTTTTTATATGTGTTGAATAATTCGTAATCATGTTTTGGATAGTGTATTGCTATAAATATTTTTTTTCATTGTTTATGAATGAAGTGGGATTCTGACACACATGGGATCAAAGGAGCCAAGCTGTTAAAAACAATTATCTTTCATGTTTTTTTTATTTAAAATCGTCAAAGTTTTACTCATATCAAGCTAAATACATGCAGTATTTACATCACAGCAAGTTAAAACAACCATGACAACAATCATGATTTTTAAACACTCAACAATACCACCAAATTAGGCTGTGTATAAATACCAATTAACAGTAATCATACATAATTAACATTTAATAATTAATCATCAAATCAATTTAAAACAATATTTCATTTAAAAATTCCCGAATTTTTATTTATGAAAATAAAAATATTTTGATATAAAAATCTACAAAACATCTAAAAATTTATCAGGTTTTTTAATAAATAAAAAAAAGGGTGCGAACGGACCTAGGGGGCGAACGTGTGGGGTGCGAACGTGTAGGGTGCGAACGTGTATTGGACGCGAACGGACCCGATACCTGAAAATTTGAACAGAAAATGTACGATAAACCTGATAAAATTGTGTTATCTGCAGAATTATTGATAGCTTTCCTTAATTACTATTCACAAGGACATACATGTATAACTAACATCTCGTCCATGCTATTCCGATCTGAGTTTTTATTCATACATAGTCTGGCATGGCTGGTGCTGTTCCAAGTTGTCTTCTTTCTCTGCATGTTTCTTGACATGCTTGAGAAGTATTTATTTGACCTGGTCAGTCACTATAAAGTGTTACAATTTATATTTAGACGCAACACATAAATAGTGACCAAAAAGGTACCGCTTTCACATGTATGACATGAGAGAATCTAGAAAAAAAATTAAATGTACACATAATTTTTCAGCATTTTTGTGGGACTATCATATAAAATTAAGGAGATATGGAGATATACAGTATAACCAACTTCATTATCACTGTAACTTGACATGGGAAATTCTGTAGCAGATGAAAAATAGTGGTCATGGTCAACCAGAGGCAGAGCGCCGGATTTTACTACCTCCGGCTACGTTTATCCCGAAATTTATTGATTGCAGAGGGTTTTTCTGTGTTCCCATGGCTGGACGGAACTTTTAAACTACAAATGTTATTATAAATTATGATATCAGTTGGAAAGCAAGTCCTTGGAAACGTCCGTTGTCGTCAAGCTCTATCAGCAACAATAGCAGGGGTAATTAATTAGGTGGCGCTACACTCGTCGGTGACGTCAAAAAGTCCGCGAAATAAATCGGCTAAAAAATCGACGTTTAAACTATTTTTTTCAACTTGTCATGCTTTTATTATAATTGATTTTTAAAGTTTGTAGATTTTGTGAACAATATAGTTTCAATACGACATTGAAACATTGTCGAAAATAACTTTTATTTGCTATTACTTTAACCTGTCCGTTCTAAAAATGATCAGCCATCTTTTTTGTTCGCCAAAAACATCGAATTTATATAACTTGACGTTTGCGTATCCAAATACGGAATAGAACGTTAAAAATCTTAAATGAAACCGGGTATATCCTATTTCAAATTTCTACACAATTATGAAGCCATCATTTTTTACTATTATACATCAATTTTGGTGACCACCAGTCATGTCAATTTGTACCTGGTTTTGGCTGCGTTTCTACTTCAAAACAGTAAAGTTCAACTTCTTTTCATTGTACCTGTTTCCAAAGTACTCTAAAATACTGATTTTATTATAAATATGAATGAAATTGTGAATAAAAGTTGTTGTTTTTCACAATTCCATACGATATCTCAATTTTAAAGTAATTAAACCCCTTTTTGATCCCCTACACAAATTGACGGTGACATTGTTTTCTTTTTCAACCGATACGTCATATATAACGTTTACAAAATATGTGTCAGGGTCATGTGCATAGTGAAAATTTACACATTGGACAAGTGAAACAACAAACAAAGTTCTTCTTTATGGCGTTTGAAACTATACGTCTAACAAAATTGCATTTATACTGGAAGCAAATATGACAAATTAATGATGGCCTATGGATAAACAAAAGCACAAAAATAGCAATAGAAAATGCATTGCAAAGACAATTTCTGGAGGAAAAAACATATGAAAA